TGAACTGAAGAGGTTTCTCACTATAAAAAGGCGTTTCCAAGGAATAGCAACAAAAAGTATGACCTGCACAGTAGACTAGGATACGATAAAATAACAATACAGATCTTCAATGAAGCTTCACTGGTATAACGTCTTCTCCTTGCACAAGTAAGGCGGAATAATCTAAAAGGACTTAGTTAGGCGGCTCTTATCACGCGATGTTTACCAACAGTTAAAGCAAAGCGGAAAGTATATATTCCACTGATCAACCGTAAACACAATAGCCGCTAACGAAGGAAGGGTAATTTGTGAGTGATGTTATTTTATAAGCATTAACGTCGGTTTCTTTCTTTCTTTGTTGTTTTTTTTTTTCTAATGCTGTTAAATGTGTTTTCAAATGGATTCAATCACTAGTTAAAGCTATAGTAAAGGGGAAAGTTCTTGCAATAAGTTGTTCCATGTAGTATACGTGCACTCCCATATAACCCGATATTTTCCTATACGCGACGTTGCCTTCTTTCTCGAAACTCCGTTTTCGCGATGGTCGCAGTAAGCTAGTTTTTAGGGCGTTGCTCAAACGTGAACGAGACATCTAAGCTCGGTAGTAGGACAGTTCTAATCTGGTGGAGAGTAATTGTTGCCTGGTCTGGATGGGGGATACTGAACAAATTTTTTTACGGGGAGGCTCCGCCCCGAGGCCCAACCCCCGCTCCTTTTACATACCCCATTTGCGGACAAGTCGTGCCCCTTTGACATACTTGTTTAGAACGCTGTATCCCTTTAAACTGCTGTAATGAGCCGTCTTTTAAATTTGAATAAATCAATAAACCAGAAAGTTTTCTTGTCATTTTCACAGCCATTAAACGCGCCTGTTAGTTCTTTTAGGTCCTTTGACTGAGCGCAATAACAGATTCCTCTACCCTCTCATATAGTTCCACTAGTGACATCCTATCCTTCACCTGATGCCTGAACAAGGTACCCCTTTCGGGTGGAGCCTCCCCGTATAGGCCATCAGAGGGAGTACCCCCGGCCTAGTCTTACAAGAGAAAAGCAATATTACTGCTTAATCAAACAAAGATAAGGAATGAAACCTAGTGATGCGATTTTAATTTGTAAATAAATATAGACTGGGAAGCTTAGACGAAGACTCCAAGGAATTCAAAGGGACTGTATTTATCTTTTCTCCTCTGGTAATATTTGTCTTGAGAAAGAATGCGTAGAGAAGTCCGGAAAACAAGTTATCAGAAAGTAGAGGGTACTCAACTCATAACAGGGGTTTTTCATAGCGCAATGTTTACCAACCTCTTAAGATTGATTAACAGTGTTTCAAGTGATCAAAGCAAACTGAAAATGCAACAAACAAGGCAAGAAACAATAAGCATTTTTAACAGTCACCGTTCAAGCATCCCTTTACAAGTGCTTTTCCGCGTTCGTCAGCTCAATTATGGAGAGTAAAAGAGCTGCATAAACACGTTATGTTTACCAACTTTCTAACAGTAGTTATGAATACTATTACCTCTTATTTGCTCTCTATAACTCTAACAACGTTTTAATTTAAAAAAAGGCCTAAAATGTAACAAATATGGTTATAGTTAGACTTTCTGTCGTTCAATTCGGTCTACAATCATACTCGCCATTAAGCAAATCGGACTAGAGACCGAATTGCACTCCACTCAGTCCTATTACCATTATTAATCGTGCAACATCCTTCTTTAATCTTGATTTTGACCCGCACGCAACAGTCCAAATTCGTTTAGGACGTGGATATTTTAACTGTACTAACTGAAAGATATCGATAAAGATAGATAAAAAATTTCTGTGCATCTCTGTGTTTGGCTTTCATCTGAGACATGATCCCTTTTCTGTTTCCGAACACCTGAGTAGGGGAGGACAAGAGGGTGTAAGCCCTCTAGGATAGAGGGCGGGGATCGGGAGCGTGGTTGCTATATAACGATGGGAAGTGGGAGAAATAAGGGGAAATCACGCAAAAATGCCTAATATTTTCGACATCAAAAGAGGGGTACGGGGATAGCCTGTGTACAGACAAGCCCTCCCTAAGGGGAGGGGGGCGGCTGTATGCAGGCTACTAAAGGAAGCTAATCGAAAAGGGGCGGGAGCCGGAAATGCAAGGTATAGGCTAGGAGATGGGAGGTCAGGGGTGCTCAACATTTACAAAAACCTCCCGGGTGAAAATCATGTGCAGAAACATAAAACTAAAGATATTGAAGTGGTGGGCGAAGTATATCTAAACCAGCTGAACAAACTAAAATGAGAAGCAAAATGGCATCGCCTCAAATCACAGCCCATATTTTCTGAATCTTCCCAAACGGAATGGCGCGAAGCATGTGGTTTTCTACCCCAAATTTCCGTTTTCCCATGTAAAGGTTAAGTTCCCTTGGATCTCCCTGTATTATAACGACCTGGAAAGTTTGAAATTCTGCCTATCTGTAGCCTGCCTAGCAGGCGCTTGGGAAGTAGTGGGCACAAGAAAAAACGGGCGCCCGAGAAACAGACAGCCCTCGTTCGCCCCTTCTCTCTTCCACCCACTACTTCCAAGCGCCTGCTACGCAGGCTAGCCTATCTGAGGGGACGCCTGTTTTTAGCATACTAAATTTTTGACTACACAGTACATAATACCTTTGTTAAGGGTTAAGTAATGTTCGCTACTTAGAATTCAAGGCTGTAGAGAATGGGAATGTAAACAGCCAAATCTAATCTAGCCTAAGATTTGACGCAAGAATTTTCTTTAATAATGATTTTGACTACTATCATTATCAAAAATGATAATTATTATCAAGCAGTGAAGACTTATTTGGTACAGACATGACTATGGACAAAAACTAATACATACAAGCCCCAGGTACTGGTCATTGACAATAAATAGAGAATGGACTTTAAATACATACACAAGTAATAAATATCTAAAGTGCGTGGTTCATAATTTACTTTTAAAGACGTAAATGCAGGTTTTCGTTCAGTTACAGAGAACATCTGTAAATTCGTAGTTGCTACCACGGGGCAACTTATTTCCATCTCACATCTCTCTACGGTTTGTCCTACGACAGGCCTTTTTAATCACCCTTGTTTAATTCCCACGAACAATGTAAAAAAATAGGCACCTTTTACGCTTCGAAACCCGCTGACAAGTCGTGGCAAGTAGCCGAACCAATGAGCACATCACCTGTTTACAGCGACCCTTACTGTGGTCCTAATAATAATTAAAGCACCTATGAAGGAAATATTCAAAAGATAGCTACTATCAAAGTAGAAATGATTTTTTTCAGCAGTAAAGGGTAGTCTTTATGTCCGAAGACATTATTGTAATGTGACTAACAGACATGGTTGACTAACAGACATGGGGATTGGGGAAGGCATCAGAATAACTATATATCAGAAATGGTGCTCCTGAAGTCAGGAGAGACTTTTGGTCATTATATTTGTATAAAAGGCAAGGTTACCACATATGTAAAGAGGGTGTAAGAGGCGAATTATGAAGAAAATAGAGCTTCAAAAACTTATTAATAATTCATAAAGAAAAAACAAACGAAAATAATATTCAATGACTGTCCATATATCTGATAAAGACACGGCTAAAATTTACGTCCAATTTTTTACACCGAAATAACCCCAAATCTAAATACTAGTGCAAAAATGAGGTGATCTATATCAGAGATTTTCAGGCCGTTCAAAAACTCGCAGAAGCGTATTATCAGGTGTAAAAACTCTTGGTTTCCCCTGAGTATACACTCCTGCTCGTTTTTAAACAGTACTTAAATAATACTTCACGCAAATATTTATCCAACTTTAACTTAAGAAAACCATAAACATAAACTATTCAAAACACTACAGCTTGGCTGCATTACCCACAAACACAGATCCACAATGGCGATTTTCGCTACAAATTTGTTTGCTGCGAGTAAAACGTTCGCATCTTGAAGCACTGTCACTACCTACGCCCTGCATTTTCTGCTCCAAAATATTTTTTTGTTAGAATACTCTGGAATACAAAGGAACTCTTGATAATTGCTGTAACTAAGTAATGTTGTACGCCCCTAAGTTAAAGCACAGGATAACCAAGAAGGTAACAGTATCAGGAACCATTCCTACAACAGTGCTGCTATTTAAAGACAAGTGCAAATTCTCTGTTTAACGCATTGAGCCCTTCTTGATCAGACAGGAAACTATGTTCTTATGTAGTTTTGTTTCTATGGAAAATTGAAAATTCAGAATAAATACTTATCTAAGTAATAAATAATTATTGTAATTACCCCACCCCTCCCATACGGCTGGCACAGTCCAACCAATGTTTATGTTCCCCATCCCACCCCCAAAATAAATAGCCCCAAAAGATAACCAGTGTTGCTAGAACACCCTTCCTCCTCCTACCTAGGCCAGGTTTACAAGTTTCCAATGGTCTCCTGATAATAAATAAAATATCTGGGGGAATAAAGATATTATTGCTACTCAGCCATTATGTATGTAGCATCTAGGCTACACAGTATTCATCTAAATTTAGTGAGAAGTATGGGTGCATTTGATATTAATATAATTGTAATAATAGTGATCAATACTGGTTCACATTCACCATTTGAAGGAAGTTAACACAAAGAAGCTTAACACTCTCACTACTCCGTGGCAAAATGCTGCAGGGGCTTCCCTAACTACCCCACGGCAAATTGTTGGAACTTCCATTGACAAATGCAGATTTGTTTTGATTAGCCAAATGTTCCCTTAGCTAATAAATGGCCAAAAAGGGTCCACTGAAAATTATACTTAAATTGGACCAAAAAAGGTTCTTATGTCCCAAGTTGCTTGCTTATTTTTCAAATTTTGTCCTGAATTAAATTTTTTCATACTGTATTTTTCAGCCCCATTACTTTTCTTTTATCTAAACTTATCTGAATACCAAATAACTTAAAAAAGATAAATTACCACCTGAGAAAAAGGAACTTATAAGTGAAAAATATTAACATTCAACGCACAGGAGATTTATAGTGTCAGCTCTTCAAATTAATGATGTATTAATGTTGTGGTGGATGAGGAATTGGTGCATGTCCAGGGAGTCGTGGTCCTGGTGGTCCATGGGGTATGACTCCACCCATTTTGGCACTCCTGCCCATTGTTCCCTAGAAATATATAATTGGAACATTAGAAATCAAGCTTACTTTCAAATCATAGTTTCTTGTACTTATGTGTAATTTACTGCTGCAAAGTTCAGCTATGTAAGCATTCAAAGCCATCATGGTGATTATATGGCACCCAGCCTTACAGCAGAACAGTAAGCTTGCCTCTTCAGCAGTCATTATGACTGGTGTGATAACTTAAGAAGTGTTTCCTTATAACTGCTGCAATCACTGATTTTTTTTCAGTAAACTTAACAGTAGCAGGCTAAACTGGTACATATATATGCATATACTTGGGACTTATTGGCAATGGCATATAATCAGCTTCTCCTTACCACTTCTAATGTTGCATATAAGAGTTAAATTAGGGTTAAAACACAAATAATTGATTTGAGGTTTGCTATCTTTTCTAAATTCAGATCATTTCAGTCTCTCTTAGTAAGGAAGTACAGGGTTCGTGCCCTTTTTTGAACAAACGATTCAAGGACTTTTCAAGGACTTTCAAGGACACATTTCCCATTTTTCAAGGACTCCATTCAGTACAAAAAAGAGCCTTAAGTCTATGTCTATTTTAGTTCTTCCAGAACATGACTCTCATGATTCACCTGAGTGATGAAGAAATTATATAATAAGAGGATATTTGGTGATAACTCCTTCCTCCAAACCACTTATAAAGGAGAGTGCTAGATTGCTGAATACTGCATGCAAAGCTATCACTTGTTCACTCACCATACTTTTAAGAGGTGCTTGAGACATGGAGCCATGGGCCATGTCCCTTTCATGAACACCGCCTTCTATGGGACCTCTAAAGGAAGCATCAGGAGGAGATGGGTGTAAATGATGTCCTCCCATGTCACGAGGACTGCGAGGCGGTTCAGGGCTCCGAGGCCTTTCAAATAGATTTTCATTATGATCAAAACCTTCTCCAGGATATGGATAACCTTTTCTTCCAAATCGTGGGCTTGTAGGAGGTGCTGGCTCAGGAGGTACCTGCCTTAGAGGTCCAAGAGGGCCATGCTCCCAAGGAGCTGGCTTTAAACCACGTGGATCCAAGGAACCAAGTTTAGGAGCCCCAGGGGGGCCCAAACTGCTAAGAGGAACCATTCCCCTTGGAGGTGGGAGAGGGGCAGCCAGTTCTGATGTTGATGGCCCCTTTTGTCTTTTCTTTTTACTTTTATCTTTCTTCTTTGTTGAAGCCATTGCTAGTTGCTCTTGTTCAAGTTCTTCTGTGTAATTATCATCTACAAAGGCAGAGCTTTTCCCGGGGGGAAGAGAATGTAACTGTGCTAATTTTTGTGGAGGTTTCGGAGGTGGGGATTTGAATTCTGTAGAGGGGACCTGTTGTGATGGTAGACTAGGTTCTGGAATTGACTGAAAATAAAAGACAAGCAATGGTAAAATGTTATAAATACCAACTCTTTAAAAGAAACAGTTTTATTAATACTGTGTTTTGTGATAAATCTAAAGAAGCACCTTGGGAAAACTTGCACACTATGGTTACAACAGAAGTGTCCAATACCCTCTGAGATCCAGTTTCAACAGGTTTTCAGTTAACTGATTTCTCCACAGTTAATGAATAGTAAAAAATACACACATTTGCCCTCATTACCTGACACTGTGAATCAATACTTTTTCCTTTTCTTTGCTCTTGGTTCTTGTCCTCCTCAGCAGGCTCTTCCAAATCGTCATCCTGAAGTTCATCTTCATTATCACTTCCAAGACTTGACACACTCAGTCCAACACTGACGCTGCAGTTATCTGCATTATCGGGCTCACTGTGCACACTTGAGGCGCTGCCACGTCCCTGTTGCAAACGAACACTTGAGTATTCAAAATTGTCTTCACCATCAATATCAAGGTCCCCTTCTTCAATATTAATTATCTGCTCCTGTTCACCATCTTCAACATCCAGATTACTCACAACAACAAGTATGTCACCTTCCTCAGTCCTCAGATCAAAGCTTGGAGCTTCCAATGGTTCTTTAGGATCACTATCATTATGAAAACCACTTTGTCTTGTTAGTGTATTTTGGTGCTTGTTCTTTTGCTGAGGTTTTTTACTATGACCTCTATTGTTCGTAGAACTGCCATCATTTTTAACCTCATGTTTTGCTTTTAGGTGATTTTCCTCATTTTCTATGTCTATTGAATCACCTTGAACTTCAAAGCCGTGAAGCTCTGACACATCATTGTTCTGGTCACAGAGAGATCCTCGGTGGTCTTTCTTGTCTTGCATGATGGTGGTATCAAATTGTTGTTGAACAGTTTCAGGAGAGGGAGCAGAAGGTTGCGGCCTTGATGAAGTATCCTGGCTGTAGAAAAAAAGGGAGTTGTACTTAATTTTTTTTGTAGAAGTATTTCAACCATGATGCTTGTGCATTTACAGGAATCACGAACTCATACATTTAATATACGCCATTCTAAATTCAGTTTTAGAATACATACATTGAGACGTAAAGAAAGGACCACTCAAAAACACCACTCAATGGATGTCAACTGCTTTTGAAAATATCTGCCAGAAAACAGTTCACTCATATGCTAAAACTGCTGAGGAACAGGCAAATGTTTTGAAGAACTTCTACATCAAGGTAAGGCTTGTTAAGACCCTGCAAATATTTATTAATCAATACTCATTTTCAGCTTCATATTCAGCTTTTGCATGATATGAATTATGTAACACAGATCTCAGAGGGTATTATCCTTTACAATTTGCAGCCTTGGTGGATAACACTCTTCCTTGATCTACATAATTCTTCATATCATACTCATCCTCATTCAATATTAATAATTTTGATAAATATCCCTCTCTCTCCTCTAGTCTACCTTTGTGTATTGGTGGGTGTTATCTGTTGATCATTGCTCCTCAAATGAGCTCTGAGAATCATCCCACAGTAGGTAAGCTGCTTGTTGTAAATATAATCCACAGCAGTTGCGCCAAGTTTATCCTTCAGCAGGAGATCAGCTGTGATACACACGTAAAATAAAAAGAATAATAATAATAATAAAAGTAATGGTAATAAAGATTACAGGAATTTTTAACTTGTCATAAGGAGTTATATGTTTTTTGATTCACAATTATTAATAATAAGAAAATAATCACTTTGCTAATTAATATGAGAAATGAAGTAGTTAGATTTTGTTAGCCATTGTAAACACTAGAAAATTAAGCAACGAAATGTACATAACACTGCATTAAGAAGACAACTTCGGAACTTTTTGAACGACCATTCTATCACAGACACAATGTGCCGGTATTAACCAACTCTGCAAGCAGAGCCTTTCTTTAACTTGCTCTATTTGGCATACTCGAGAAAAACTCTACATAAATCAAGTAAAATCTCTGTTGAGCATGCGCTGCTCGTTGCTGGGATATGCATTTGAACCAGTCCTAATAGCCATGTGCTTGGTACAGTGGATTTAGGTTGACCATCAGTTTAAAAATAAATGATGCTTGCACTCAAAAAACCAGTTCCAGGAGGGAAAGCAAAATTGAATAGTCCAGAAATTTGGGCTTCCCCAACTTGAAAGGCTCTATGCAATTCACGCAAAGCCTCCTTTCCTCTGCTCCAAGAGTGGTACTAACCTCCCCTTTCAAGAAGAAAATTGACTACTTCTCCTTGGCCACAAATTGCAGCCAGATGAGCTGGAGTTCTTTTCATGTTATCAGTGTCCTGAAGGCCTTCAATGCTTCCTCTTACTTCAAGAATCAACTCACAAGCAGCCGTATTCCCTATATAGTTGAAGATTATAAGAAAAAAATAGAATAAAAGTCAAGAAAGGTTACAAAACCTGAACTCATAGGCTCGATTACCTGCTGCTGTTCGGGAAAATGAGGCAGCACTCAACCTCGTCCCCAGGGGTCCCTTGACCAAAAGGATCGCGGCCTCTGGGAACGAGATTGGCCAGCACTCATCCCCCGAAAGAGCGGCTGGACGCATGCGATTTCCTTTGTTAGTTTAAGCCAATCATGTTACTGCCTGCAGATTTTCGTCTGGCAAAGATTGTTGCAGAAATTATCATATCAAAACAGAAAGTCCTTGCCGTTCTTCCTTGATCCATCGCACGGCGAAGCGATTTCGACGGCGCGGAGACACTAGGCGAAATCCTAGAGTCCGAAGGAACACAACGTTTTGTTCGATTGTTTGTTGTGAATGATCGTGGTTGGAGAGATTTTGCCTCTTCAAGGATCTTTTCAAGACGCTTTAGGTGTCGATGACTGAGTTCGTTATAGATGTAACCGTCAACATTTGTATTTGACAGAGGAACATTTAATACGCTGGAAATTCTGTCTAGTAAATCAGACACTTTTCCATTTAATTTGGTCCGCCTCCTAGAATCAGTCAGTTCGGACCCACAGAAGACGAAATCCAACATTCGAAGATCAAAGAAAATTAACTACATGTTGCCGTGTACAGAAATGTACCGAAGAATCTTTTTCACAATGTATGGAAATGTACCGAAAAAGCTATTTCGAAAGTCATTTGGGAGGGTAAGGGAGCGCTTGATGCAATTTTGAGCCAAATAAATAAGAAAATTGGAGACCGGTTTCACTTCCAGTGATGCTTAAATTGTCAACTTTCCAATAACGTCATAGACAAGGTCAACGGGTCACGCGTCCAGCCGTCTCTCTTCGGGGAGGATCAAAGACCGGACCCAGGAGACGGCGGAAATCGAGCCTACTAAACTCAGTGCTGTTAAAAAGGGATTCTAATAAGCTGAATTTCTTATAAACTGTTTTGAAATTACCCACATCATTTCAGACCAAATTGCACTCCACTCAGTTCAATCAACAACTAAAGTGCTTGTCCAGACAGAATGATACAAACTAATTGTCACAATGCAGACTTTTCCTGTCTTCATTGTTTCTGAAGATTTTTTCAATTATTTTCAGTCCATTCAAGAAAATTATAGGTTAATAAACAAACATGTTTACTTTTTATGTGTTATGTACAGATCCAACAACAGTGACATCACATGTTCCATAATTGCAGTTGACAAAAAGAAGGAATAATTAATCAAATTATAGTACCTTTTTCCGCAGTTGTGTGGAGCACTGATTTTCCATCATTATCTCTTAGAATTGCAGAACTGGGTGTCAGTAAGACCTTGGAAACAAAATTGAAGTAAGGAAAGTGGAAGTGGTAGTGCAAAAATGGAAGTGGTTATGCAAAAATGTTTGGCCTCTTAACCTGTCTATACAAATAAAATGCACTTCAAAAACACAATTAAACTGTTGACACAAATTTTCAGAAGGACATTATATGAAATCCGAAAAGTGGAAAAATTCGTATGATCTGCTTTCAGTCCTGGGGATGGATTCATGAAGCCATCTTGAGCTAAGATGTGTCTCAACTGCTCTCTCAAAACAATTGGCGATAGTTGAGAAACAGTACTTAGGAGATATCTTAACTTACAAATTCAACCCTAGAACTCTAAGTGGAAGATTCTACAAAATTATTTAAGCAGTGGAACCTTGATAAAATGAAGTAAAGAGTCTTTGGTATAACAATCGGACTATTATTGTATTAAACTACTTAACGATTATTATTCATTCAAAATATTTCCACAATTCTGATTGGCTAAAAGCACACACATAATTCACTATAACCAGATACTGATGACCAAATTTGGAAGAATTTTGCAACTAATCAACCAATGACGTCAAAAGTGCAGCTTCCTTGCAGGTTAATGCACTGTTAACTGAGAAGACCTGGGGACGAGGTTGAGTTGTTTTGGTTGTGAAAACAAAAATGGTGGACATTTTGCTCGATTCAAGAGTAAGATCCAGGCGAAATAGTAGCTAAAAACATGGCAAGAACAGCAAAAAGACAACTCGAAGGGCGACATTTGCTGTTTGGAGAATATTTGCAAAGCTGAACAACCCTAAACGTGCACTATCGAAGATGAACTTAACATCGATGGAGGTAGGCATGTTTTAGCTATGTTTTTAAACTAGGAATTATTTTGAATGTATAATAAAGCAATTATTGAATTCGGCTTTTGTAACATATGAAGAATTATGGAGATCTCGCAGGGTGTTATCCGCCTCGGCCTCGACGGATAACACCCTCCTCAATCTCCATAATTCTTCATAAGATACTCAGGCTCATTCATTAATAATTACTAACTATCATGCTGTGTCAGTTCAGTTAAAAATCACAAAATTTCAGATTTGGTACAGTTTAAAGACCACTGGTGGCCAACTTTCCTTGAACTTTTTGGCCACTTTTTTTTAGAGGGGTGTAAACGCTATTAAGCACACGCCCTCTGCACACATGCTTTATGTCTGTTCTGTTCCTTGAGTACAGAGCCTATGCTTTCTGTGGGTTCTGCTTAACTGTGTATCTACAGTCTGCATCCTTATTATATTTTTAAAAACATGCAAGGCAAAGACCATCTCATCTCTCATCATTTCTTTATCAAATACCTCAAGGCATTCCAGGGAGCCTGCTCCCTTGACAGACCAGTGTATCACAGATTGTCCATAGCAATCAGTGTCTTTGAAGATGGCATCTTCCTGTGGGTCAAGTCTGCACAGTGCATCATGTAGGACTTGGAGATTATGAAGTTGGTCAAAGTAACATGCCCACATAGCTGGTGTCAAACCCTCACTGTCAACTGCATGAAGACTACCACCAAACTGAAGTAACATCTGTCCGTAAAACAATATTATTTGGTTAGTGCAGGGCTGTGTTTTAGCTAGCAGTGCTCAGCAGCCCCGTGGCAGCTTACTGTTGGTCTTTGGTAACAAGGAAATAATAGGCTTTGTAGCAAACTTATATATATTTAAGGTGACTCGACCCAGTTTTTTTTAGGGGGTACCATCCTACTTTGAAGCTCTCTGGTATCCCCACCTTTACTTTTATCGTAAGTCTAGCACATAGAATGGATAACATATAGATCAATCTACAATATAACATAAAATGTTTGGCGATCGGAGTAAATGTCACGTGGTTATAATGCCACGCCCCTTTGAGGTCTGAGTCGAAAATCTGCTGTTGCCAGCATTTTTTCGTGAAAATCTCTCGGCTACACATAGTGCGCATTAGTGCCTTGCGCTGAACAGAGTTTCACCAAAATCGCAAAGACCCAATTCGAGAAATTCAGCGGTTTCCAAATTTAGGTCATAATTTATGCGAAAATGATAAGCAAACTTTACACGGATTATATCTAATAAACTATGAGATTCATCTCTTTATTTTGGGCATCGTTATAACAGATGGGTCCTTGCAAGTCAGCAAAACGCTTTAGGGCCTTGTAAATGCGCGCGATTTCGAGCAAAGCAAACATATAGAAATTATAGTTTTCGCTATTTGTTGACGTTTGTCAGCGTTTAAGAGTCCTTCTCACGAAAAAAGCATTTTCTTAAAAATTCGTAGTTTTTTTTCCTTCAAATTTTTTCAGGGCCACAATTGATTAACTAACTACCCGGACTCTGAATTTCATGGTCATTGAAAAACTGTGACATTATCTTCTATAAGCCCAAACTTGAGTAAACATTGAAGATTTTTAGCGTTTTGGCTGAGTTTGTGCTTTGGGAGTTGTCTATTGTTTCTAGTCTGTCATTATACAGCATTCTTGTTCAGCATGCGTGCAATGACCATGCTTGGGATATATGGTGATACGGTAATATAAAAGGGAAGGGATTTCAAGAGTTAAAGTATATCAAAGGGTACAGAAATCTGTCTTTCAGTTAGTTGAAAGGGCATGCCACAAAATGAACTGAATAATTAATAATTATTATATTTCATAGTTGACTTCCCCTTTGGTGATGATGTTCTCCCATAATATCATTCCAAGGGTTTAGAAAAGGGATAAACTTTCTTTAAGGTACCACTTTTCAAAGGAAGGTAAGAGGTAACTTTTCTGTCAAAAATGGTACATTTGACTAAAGGGCAAAGAAAGGCAGAGCAACCCTGGGGCCATGTAGATTTTATAGCTGAGAGAGTTTAAGATCCCTATAGTTATGTTTTTTAGAACAAAAGCTAGAAGTAAGAAATCAGTGCTAGAAGGCTGCAGTCATAGAGAGAAGATTTGCAGTGCATATATAACCTTGAGGTTATCCATGGAGGGACTTGCTGCTGCCCAGTGAAGAGGTGTCCTGCCCTGATTGTCTTCAATGTGGTGAGAAGCCTCAAATAAAAGAAAAAATTGTTCACTTTTTTTCCAAATCAGGGTCCTAAAAAGGCCTACCCATAATCTATAAACACATGATTAGCTGGTGTTAATAATAATAACAATAATAATAATAATAATAATTATTATTATTTTTTACCCATTTGATACCATACACATGAAATGTTACATATTAACTACTATGTATGATTACTAATGCACTTACAGTAAAGTTAGATATGTTGTCAATTTAATTAGTAAAACTAAGCCTATTGAAAAACAAACTATTTTTTAAAACACTCACTGTTTATCTTAAGTACTGGACTTGGGGTTCACCTTGATCTAAGGGAGGACACTTCAACTTGGGTAACATGAGATGCAATGGGTTCACTTTCAATGTATTTTACTGAAAAGTACCCATCACATAGTTTAAGGAGAGTGCAGATAATAAAGCAGTGAGCAGTGGGAGGCAATAGGACAATTTGAACAGGTTTTGACTGCCTTTTTGGCCACAGTATGTAAGGTAATATTATTTGACCCTTTTGCTCATAAAAATGGCCAAACTTATTTTTTTTAAGTTCAGAGAATTAAGGAGTATCATACAAAAGTTCTGCCACAGAGGTTTCATTTGAATGGTAACACCAAAGGATTTCATCCACAGATTTAAAAGTTAGTATCAAATAACCTTGCCATAATATGGCCTAGGTATGAAAGGTTTGTTCATTTATAAATATCCAAAAAAATTAACACCAAATAACAGTTACCGTGGCTGCAACCACGCTAGGAAACTTATATGAGTTATTTCCAGGTAACTAATTAAAAATCACTTTAAAAACTAAGAAACTGTGGCTATGTATTTTGGGTCTTCACTGATTCTTAACCATCTTATGCAAATTACACGAGAACAATGTTTTTTTTTTTAACTAGGTAGGATTTTTTAACCAACTTGAGGGGTTATATACTGCAGGTCATTGTTATCAATCAATGGATCATCTTTGCTTATGTATGAGAATTAACAAAGTTTAGGTTCTACCATGCACAAAAAGCACTAAATTTGCAAAAATAGCTTTCTTCACTAAACTAAAGTAAGTAAACAAAAAACTCTTTGGACCAGGTTAAGTTCTGATCAAATTTTAACCAGGCATCTCAAAAACAGTTAAAACCGAGTTGATTCACTAAGTGCAGCTGAATAACTGCAAATGGACACATTGTTTTCTTTTTTTTAACTGGAATAAAAGCCAAAAATAGTTCAATGATCAAAAGTACTGTGTAAAATTTTAATAGAACATAACAAAATAACATTTTAGTTCTTGCAGTCACCTTGTTTCTGAGTAGAAGAGTCAAGGCTGCAGTATTGTTGCAGAAGGCAGCTACATGTAGGGCTGTAGTATTATCTGGTGATAATAATCATTGCAAAGATGTTCAAGAGAAAAATACAAAAAGTAAGACTTATGCAAAACTATGCATGTACACCAGTAAGCGACCGATAAAAACTTATCACTGTTTTTCTGTACTAATAATAATTTACAGTACAAACAATGCACAAACTTAAATATTATAGCTATTACATGAATGTTAAATATGCTACAAAATATAGATATGGTTGCTGATGTGTTGTTTTCAACAGGCCAGGGCAACTTAAGATTGAGGTTTGATCACCTAACATGCAATTACACGCGAAAGAGTTGCAGGACTGCGAAGTATGGGATTTAAAAAAATAAGACAAGTAGTGATTTCACTGGACTGCCGTTTTTCATTTTCTCTCCAACTCTATAATTAAGTGAAGCTATAATTATTTATTTTAGTTCTAACAAGTAAAATTCCAAGCAGTTTCCAAGTATTAGTATGAGATCAATCCACACACTGAAGGTGCCACATTAATAATAAAAAGAATTAAAAAAAATTTTGGTGCTATCACATGATTAGATTCACCCAGGCTTCATTGTGCACTGCTCCATTTTTAAAGTCGCATCTTTTGGACAACAGTTTTGGAATGAGAAACAAGACATCAAGGGCCACTTTAATCCAGCCCAAGAATTCAAGGTGACTGTCCATACTGGCCACAAGGCATTGAAGTAAACTTTTACTTCTACAAGATGGATTTAGGTATCTACGATATATAAAAATGCTGAGCCTTAAAAACTTGAAACATGCTATTAGAAGAAATGCTTTTCTTTACAGCCTTTTTTTTCAATCAGACTAGCAGTGGGTGCATTAAAATGTATTAAAAGTTGTCTAATTTGGTCTTCAAGTGAAAAAAATTTCAGGATACTCTACCATTTGCTTGGTGGTCCAGATCACATTCAGCATTAATAAGCAATTCAAGGCAATCTGTGTGAGCAGGTGTATTTCCATGTACACAGTACATAGCAGCATTTCGCCCTAAACCATCTACTTGCTTAGTGACAGCTGGATCTGCAATGAAACCAACATCGCACTTATGTCATCCAAGCCCTGTTTTCAGTGTTTAGTATGTTGTAACCTGTGCTGTCTTGTATTCAAAACCTAAAATTTTGCGAAGAGACCTTAAAAAGGGAAAAATACACAGTGAATGGTTTATTAAGGGTGTGTTTCTTCACTACAATTATCCAAGATCAGATAAAAAATCCGGATCATTAGGAATTTTCTTTGAGAAATAGAAACGACCCACGATATCGATGGTATCCTGGAGAAAGAATATCACAGCTGCCGACAAGGTTGCAAGTTAGCTGATGTTTCATTGTATTCTAGACAGTTAGCTTTAGGATACTGCTTTAGACGGGGCAAATGAAGATGAGTCTTGAAATAAGATATAATGTATTGGAAAAGTAAAGTCTTGCAAGACGAGCTTGAGCAGGCAAAGTTGTGTAGCAGTTTTTTCCTTGTAACTAGAGCAATGCAGGTACTCGATATATCCTTGGGTGAGGAGGTGCGGCCCGGCTCCTCAAACCCTGACCCAGTTTAAGACAAAAATCGCTGATTTTCCTACCCTGATTAAGACATTTAACCCGAAACCATACCCTGTGTAAGACAATAATAAATATCTCAACTCTTTCTCATTTAAGCCACGGGCAATCACAAAACTATTTATAGCTGTTTGAGACATAAATTGATAAAATCGATACCCTGATTAAGACAAAAAATGATAAAATCGATACCCTGTTTAAGACAAAAATCCCAAAAAACATACCCTGGCTGGCTGCACGTCCCCATTAAGCCCTTATAAGGGAGTACCCCCCTGGGACCCTAAGTCACTTTACAACTGCTGACCTTTCAGGGTCATGATCTCTATTCAAACAATAATATTATATTCAGACTTTCTAAGAGAGCAAAGGATGGTAACTGATTACACAGAAGGATTTATTTTGCGAAAAATTTTTCAGGTTTATCCAAGTTTGTACTAGTCTGTGTAGCTGCCTGTATTTCTGGGCAAGTGCACACATGAACGACAAAGCTGGAAAGACATGTGCCAAGCATGCACAAATGAGAAGCAAGGCCACAAATAACAATAAAAACCACCTCCCAATTCACAATTTGACAATGTGTTGACTGTAACGGGCCATGTGGCAGGTAACACAATTGCTTCTGGTGCAGAACTTTGGAAACCCACACACATTATTACTTTTTCAGAGATTTTACACCTTTAAAATGTCTGATGTGTGGTCATTTGTTCTTTGTTATGGCTTACTCATAGTATGCAAAAAATAGATGGGTATAGTGTGATTCAGCAAAAGAGAAATAAAACATGTAAGTTGAACAAAATGGCCATCATATCTCTCATGTGAGGTGAATATTGTTAATAGCCATCTTTTGCTCAGGTTTCAGAACAATTTCCCAGTGTTCTCATCAAATATCAATGGTTAATAAGGCCACAGGTAATGCTTGCTCTGCCATTTCTCACAGATAGCTTGCATCAGTCTTTTCGAGTTCTCCCTTGGAAGATAACAAAACATGCGAGTGATGTATATAGAATCCGATCCGAATCTGATCCATTCGTCAGTACACAAACCACTCAAAAAGGCTGGTGGGTGTTTCCTTTTTCCCTCCCCCTCATTCCTCTTTTTTGCTCTCTTCCCAACTTTCTGGCTAACGTCAAGTGGCACTCCTATATCCAAAAATCCACACAAAGGTTTAGATCCCCTCCATCCCCGAGGCCTCACAGGACCAAGCATGGGCCTGCAGGAGACCTCAGGGCTGATTATAATAAACAATAGGGTCATTTAAATGAGGAAAAATAAGACACATCTTGCATAGGATGCATCCTAAATAAGACTCAAACTATCCTGTATAAATGGCACATTTCATTCGAAATTTAGGTAAGATGCATCTCATCAAAGAATAGCCCCTAACATCTGTTATTTGATAACATGTGTTTTTGCTAAGTAGCGTCTTAATGTGCCGTTTATACAGGATAGTTTGCGTCTGATTTAGGACGCATCTAATGAAAGACACGTCTTATTTTTCCTCGTATAAATGGCCCTAATATCTATTAGTATAAGGTGACAAGGATCAGGAAAATGATAAGTGATTTTCACCTATGATCTTTTGAGCTGGATTTCAGAGGCTGACAGCAAGAAGCTGGAGGGAGATTATATTTTTATAACCTAACTGTAATGAATTTACACAAGTATTTCCCTGATGATTGAGAGAAAAAGTAATTTGTTCGTAATTTGTTTGTAATTAGAGTTCTGAATTAACCTTTCAAGTTCTCAAATAACCAGCTGCTATTATAGCAAATAAAACTTTATGGATTATTTTTATCATCCCCAAATAAGAAGTGTGTATGTATGCATGGTTTCTCTCCAATTTTTTACCTTTATCTATGAGTTCCTTCAAAAGTTCGTAATCCCCTGATTTCGCAGCTTGCAAGATAAGGGGTAGAGAAGAATATTCATTTGTCCCAAGACTGGCTGACAATCTCGGTGATTCCAAGTTATACCACTTCCACTCAAACTGATCTCGTATACCACAAGCAGGAGAAACCGGACTTACACCACCGTTCAAAATAAGACCTCCACTTAGAGTTTTCCCATGAAATCGTGGCGAAGTTCCGCTGGAAAGACTTCGCTTGCGGAGTTTCTTGTAGTACCTTTGCAAGTGAAAAAGAACAAGATTCATGGAGTCACGCAGTTCAGCCGTCGATTCATCGCAGGACAGTTTGGAAAGAAACTCCTGAATTAGCCCCGCTGTTTTCTGGAAGTCTGAAAATAAAAGATTGTACGTATTAATCAAAACTATCTACCACCCAGTTTGAGCAAATTAACACACAAGAACTAATCAGGAAATACTTACCGTGTTTTTTTATAACCATCCTGTTTTATCTTTGCACGGCCCCGAATGGCGCGCGGGAAAAGTTTGTTAAGGAGTTTGATAGATTAATAACCACTGCCATTGTTAAATTATTGGAAGACACCTTTATAGGTTCAAAAAAAGCTTAAACGGTGATTCCAAAGAAGATATTATGGTTCTTTTGGGCCACATAAGATTAAACTCACGACTGAAGTAATTGTCACATCTTCTCTAAGCATGCGAAGTTCTTGAAGGAAAAACAAACAATGATCGCTTGGACTTGTGGGAATTAAAATCGAAATCCAAAATGGCGGCCTCGGCAGTGAAATGTCCAAAAACTGTTGTTTTAGCCATAGATCGGACTTGTTCCTTATGTGGTGGTTCTTGGTTATCCAGATTAAGATATCGTATGTTCTCGGACTCCAAATTAGACGACAACAGTACGCATTTTGGCTTTGAGAAGGTATCAGAACAAGACAAGGCGGAGAAAGGTAGTTAAACATAAGCTTATATTATAAATTCAATACGGATAGAGCCTTGTTTTGGTCTTGGCCTTGAGTTAAATGGTGAACTATGATCTAATGCCGTTAAAATAATCCCATTAAGCTATCGAGGAGGAAAATCCCAGGGGGGAGGGAGGCGATTCAGATGAGGTAGCTCTCGAGCAATGCCCTAGCAATGACCCCGGCGGGGGGCACTTGGGTATTTTTTGGGTGGGTATGTGCCGCCCGGGACTCCAAATTGGCACCCCGTTCTATAAAAAATTTCCCCTAAAATTGATACCCCATGCTAGAAATGGGCCAGTTTTTTATATCCCATTCTAGAATTCGCTCTAAAACTGATACCCCGTTCTAGAAGTGGGCCAATTTTTTATACTCTGTTCTAGGATGCAACAAAAGTACAACGGTTTGCTTGTTAACGCATTGAACCGTGTTTTTAAAAGTAATCTGTGCTTGAATACTTTCAAATGGCTGCTTACAAAAGTGGAGCTTTTGTACGTTTGAAACATTATACCCTGTTCTAGAAAACGCCTCTGAAATGGATACCCCGTTCTAAATTAGGAGCTTCAAAATCATGACCCCTTTGGGCGGCACATACCCGTATAGGTAATGTATGGGAGTACCCCCACGGGCAATGACCTCTATTTAACAAAGTCCCCGGTATAAAGAACGATTTTCTTTACCCCAGTAGCAGTAAAATATATGAAAAAGAACCTCTATATGATGACACCTTGTTATTATAGCGAATAAAAATTGGTCAGACCCTTCATTATCAAGGTTCCACTGTAGTACTGCACTTCATGCGATATCAGAAATGCCAACCTCTTGACATCTGTAAATTTCCCACCACCTGCTCACTAGTTCAACTTACTCCAAACCACCAAAGCCTAGACACACCCACAGATACAACCCAGCTCCAACACTCAACAGTAAAAGATTGTACCTCCCAACTTTTAATATTTCACCATGTAATTTTCATATCCATGTTACCCAATTTTATAAAAAAATCGGACGCCTTTTCCCAGGGGAAGGGGGGCTCTCTTGGAAATTCTTGGTTGGGGTGTGCTGTCTGGTTCTCCAAATCCTGACCCTATTTCAAAAATGTCAATTTCACACCTGTTTCCAGACCTGGCCTCTAAGAAATTATGTCATTGTTACTTAGATTAGACCACCAACAAAAAAAGAATTCTTAAAATCCATTTCAAATTCACATATTTCACTTTCTTTCTTACTGTTCTGGAATAGAAACAATAAATACATTCATACACTCCTATAGTTCCCTCGAAAACCATAATGGATTCCAGACAAACATGGGCAAAGTCTATACCCATTTTCAGACCAAAACGGCACAAAAACCCCACCCTTTGGGGTGGCACCAGCGTGCAAAGAAAGTAGTGTCTAATAGCCCGGGGCTAGTGGATTTTTCTATGGGGCTAGTGAATCCTGTTTTTAACTTGCCTGACGGGCAAGTGATGTTTTTTTGAGGAATTTGAATAACAGAAGAACTGTGAAATCAATATATTATTCTGCTCGTCAAAAAGCTTTCGGGGCTAGTTGAAATGACGTCTGGGCTAGTAAGTGCTAGCTTCAGCTTGCCCAAATGGCAAACTGTAAAAATGATTTTCTTTGCACCTTGGGCACGTACCTATATAACTTATATCAGGGAGTACCCTCCCCCACACACACACCCCCAAGTGACTTCCAAATCATACCAAAGACATTCCAGTGACTTCTGAACAATAGTGAAGAGTCCCAAAGTTCTTCTGATAATTTCCAAGGGTTGCAAAATATAGAAGTGCAAAGCATCAAATCTTGGGACCATCTTTGCGAGATCACACAATTATCTTGGCAGTATCGTCGAGTCACGGTATCGGCAGATCTTGCCAAGATCGAGCCTTTATACTCAAGATTGCTCATGTCTTGGCAAGGTAACTTATTTGGTGTGATAAAAGTTTTCAGCCTGCAGGCATGTGACACAGGCATACTGCTTGTGGGTTGGCGGGTATAAAAGATGCTCAAAAATGCTGCCAGAATCCATGGCGGATGTAATCTGGGCCCAGTTGTTCGAACGCCAGTTAGCACTAAAACGGGGTTAAATTTTAACCTGGCTTTTTTTTTCTTGTTATCCAATAGTTTTCTCTATTCTTTTTAGAGCATCCAATCATCGAATTGTAGGCAAAGAGAATTAAACTGAATTTGCTTTTTAAGCTCTAATATCTCAGTTCAAATTTCGCACTAACCCTGGGTTATCTCAACCCAGCTTCGAACAACCCAACCCTGGTGTGCAGGTGTTACTAAAGGTTCCATAACTCATACCCAGTCTACTTTAAATCAGCACCAGTACACAACATAGATATGAAAAATCTGAATTTCAGGGAATTTTGCAAAATATTGGTGTTAAAGGTTTCGCCTTTTGTTTAAAAAAAAAAAATGCTCAAAAGTTACATTTACTTTGCTCTGGCAATCTGACAGAGAGATCAATAGGTTCGTTCAGTATTCAGGAGAATCCCAGATATTTTTTTTGATAGTTGGGATATTATTAATATATAAAATACAGATATTCAGTATAAATTAGTTAAGTTTGCTATCATTCTTTTGTCTCCAGTTTACAAGGTGTTTGAAAATGTTGCAAGCTCATATGACCAAATGAATGACGCAATGAGCTTTGGGATACACAGATTATGGAAAGATAGACTGATAAAAGTACTAAATCCTCCATCTGGAACAAAACTATTGGACGTTGCTGGAGGCACAGGTAGTTTATTACCTTATTGTACACAGACCACCCAAGGTCACACTAAATCTTTCTGGAATGCTATTGCATTTCACTGCGAAAAAAGCCAATCAAGTGTGAGAAAGCTAAACTACAAGTAGCAAAGGTAACTTGTGGTTTTGTGGTCTGCTTCCTTGGTCGTTTACTACACTTTTATCTGGGAAATCTGGAGTGTATGAAGACAATACTCAAGCAATCACCATTCCATCCAATGTCCAACACAAGTGACCAGCTCTGCAACTTGAAATTTCCACCTGCTCAAATTCATCCCTGTCCACACTTCATGTGATGCTTTCAAATTCAGTCTGTGGCCAAGGGCAATAATTGAAAATATAAGGTGGTAAAGAATTCCAATTGTTAATTATTAACGATTGGAACTCTTTACCGCCTAATATTTTAGACATTGATTCAACTGACAATTTTAGGCTTGCTGCAATTGCTTTTTTTATTTAATTTGGCCGATCCACGGACTTTTAACGTTGTTTTTTGATTGCTTATTTTATTTTATTTATTTATTTTTTGGATGTAGATGTAGATGTTTTTCATTGAGGAAATTTTAGCAGTACGGCATTGTAGGTTGATTTCCTTAATCATAATTGGGAAAAATGTCCTCTTAGCAAGCCCCCATTCTCTACCTCTCTTGGTTCCTGGGTCTTCTATTTGTTCAACATTAGTATAAACATTCTCACTGTCTCTTGAATTTGTTTCATACAGGAGACATAGCTTTCCGGTTTCTCAACCATGTGAAGAACAAACTCCCAAGAAGAAAAGCACAGTCAGAAACTTTTGAAGCCCATGTTACTGTCTGCGATATTAACAGAGCCATGCTCAAGGTTGGCCAAAAGAGGGCTGCGAGATTCCATCATACTTCAGGTAGATGCTTTTAGCCAGCTTTGCACCCCAGGGCAGTTACAGCCCACATGTTAAAGGGGTACAGATGTGTGTTGGAATATTGGAATTATATGTTTAAAGGAGACAAATTTGTCTTAAACACACAACCCAATAAGAGCCAATTAAATTCCATCATATAAGCTGTCATAATTCAAACGATTATTTGTTTCATCCTTTCTGCCATTCTTAAGTTGTCTTCTTCTTTGTATGTGTAGCAATACCTGTGTAAAAAAACTAAGCTATTTCCATCCTGAACACCCTTTGTGAGACCAAAACCTACAATTTATAACTCTAAAAAACAATGGGCATCCCCACTCCTTATGAAATATAGGAAACATTTTGTTTTTACTCAAGATAGATTTGCCTGCAGTGAATTCAATAATAAGTATCTGATTTGCTTTCCTCTGAGGTAGCTATTTCGTGGATTGAAGGAGATGCTGAAGACCTCCCTATAGCTTCATCATCTGTTGATGCTTTTACAATAGCATTTGGGATTAGAAATGTTACAAGAATACACAAGGTAAATCTTGGGATGCTGCACCTGAGCCTGCTTGCAGATTTTCTTTTTGGGGCTGCAAGCAGAAGGCGAGCAAATGAGAGATATGAGTGGCTGGGTTGTAACATCTCTTGTGAGTACCATGAAGCAAATACACATCCCAAGTGGAGATTCTGCTTGCAGGGTATTGATGCTACAAGTTCATGAACCCTAGGCTATACCAGTACTTTGTATTCAAAATTGATGTATATCATCCTGTACCTTATATCTTGTGATTATTTTTAAAAAAATAAATGCTTTTTTAGTTGGGCTTGTTCAGAAATGCTGTGGGGAAATTTATTACATCAATGTCAAAATTGACAATGTGCAAGAGCAAAATCTATGTTCATCACATTACAGGTAATGAGACTTAAGGAAATATTCTTTTAAGACAAAATTTCCTCAAACTGTGAACAGATTCTCATTATTAGTCTGAAAACAAATGTATTAGGAACATGTTCAGGATATTTATATTTGGGCTTAAAGGGTTAACTCAGTGGCCACCTCTTCAAAATGATCATCAGATGTTACCCCACAGGAAACAGCTGATTAGTTCAGAGTCAACATTCTTGAAAGATTACTTTGTAGATAGCTGGAATGTTTTTAAGATGTGTAACTTTTCAGTTTGCCTCTTTTAACATCAGGCCTTGAGCGAAGCTTACAGAGTTCTAGCACCTGGAGGAAGATTTCTTTGTTTGGAATTCAGTGAGGTTCAAAACAAGCTTATAGCAAGGTATTATTCAGTTGTAGTACTCAACTACATGAGGCTATCTTAATCAATATAATTTTGTTACTACATCATGATTTCTAGAACTTTTTTACATCCTTGTTTCCCTAGAATATTTTGTTGAGTAGAAAAAGCAATTTTTACCTGAAGCCTTCAGTCAGGGGATTTGGCCAAAAGTTTGAAAAACTATTATTATTTATAAATATTTGGAGACAAGTACTTTTACATGTTGCTTTTTGAACTTACAGTGCCTATGATAAATATTCCTTTGATGTTATACCAGTAATGGGACATGTGATTGCTGGAGATTGGAAGTCCTATCAGTACCTGGTGGAAAGCATTAGACAATTTCCTAACCAGGTTTGTAACTTGTTTGGTTTTCAGGAAATGCTGTTGGGTGGTTAGTGAGGGTTGTACTTGGCAGGGGGGGGGGGGGGGGGGGGAGGGGGGGGTTTGGCCTTTTTTTTTCATTAAAAAAAAAAAAAACAAATATGAAATTGTAGGGGTACAATTAAATCTACATGTAAGTACCTGTTTTTTATCTTTTTTTTTATAAAAAAAAAAAGGGGAAAAATGGTGTTGAAAAAAACAAAAAAGGGACAAAAGAAAAAAAAATGGGGACAGCTCTTTGTGGGTGGAGGGAAAAGACGGCATATGTTTGCGGGAGGTGTTTTGAGTTGAGTGGTGTGCTATTCGGGTTTTTGGTGTGTTGGGTAGGTTTGCGGGGGGGGGGGGGGGGGGGGGGAGGGTGGGGAGGGTTCGGGCTCTTCTATTCATGTAACAAAAAAATAACCAATCATGAATTGTAGAGAGTCACATTAATCTGCATGTAAAGTACTGCTTTTTATCCTTTTCTTTCATAAAGAAAAAAGTGGCAAAATAGTGTCTGACAAAACAGCAAAGTGGCAAAAAGGAAAAGAAAGACTGTATACAGCATCTTTATTCTTTTTTGATGGTGTTTTCATCTTCAGGAGGTCTCAAAACTGAAAATCATGGGAAAAAAGTTACAAAATGAGAAATACCATAAATGGCCTAATAAATGCCCACCTCCAAATAAATGCTTCTCATCTAATAAACACCTCCTCAACACTGTTAAAATTGTATTAGATCCCAGGGGCGGATCTAGGGGGAGGGTGCAGGGGGTGCACACCCCCCCTGGGATGACCTGTGGCTTTCTAATTAACACTATGCAGTGGCTTCACAGTCATACAAAATCTGCTGTATCGTTTGATATGTATTCTCAGCAGTTCACATGATGTTATTTCCTAGTCAAAAGCCCTCTTCTTCGTATTCGCTTTTAAATTTCTTTACGTCATCAGTCAGTTAGTGGTGCACCCCCTCCTAAGAAAAATCCTGGATCCGCCCCTGGATTCCCACTCTCTAATAAACACCTCCTGTCTATAGATGCCCTCTTGTGGGAATTACTCCAAAGTACTAGGTATTAGCAGAGTAAAATCATTCAATTCATTCAATTTCTTGCTTGATTAATGAACCAGGCGTTGCGTATTTCATCTTGTTCCATGTCAATTCCAAAGTAAGGATAGACCAACTATCAACCCCAAGAAAAGGTTCTGACATCAATTCTGGGATTTGAAAGAGCAATATAAGTCTCAAGATGGCCTACTTGTATCAATTGATGGAGTGGATATTCTGCTATTTTTAAACTACCTTGATAAAAAGCTTATTGGAATAAACACCTGTCTCTTTTTCAAACACTTCCCATCTATTAAATGCCCCTCCTTTGACCACTGAAATTAAATAGATGCCCCAAGCATTTAATAGGACATTAACAGTCTTGATTAATAATTCCAACACAGCAAGGTTTATGTTCACTGAGCTTGGGCTGCCCATGGCTATCCAAATGCTACATTTCCTTATGTTGATAACAAATCTGGATGGAGTGTTACTTTATGATCTATCCCTCTCGTTCACAACCTGCATCTCCACATCCACCCCACCCCTAGGATAAAAAATGCAGTTAGTTGTCCTTTTTTCAGTTTCCTCTTGTTTGAACTGTCCTTTTATTTTCTCAAATCTTTTGTGCTTTATAGGAGGAGTTTGCAAGAATGATTGAAGATGCTGGATTTCGTCATGTAACTTATGAGAATTTGAGCTTTGGAATAGCAGCCATTCACTCAGGCTTTAAACTACCTTAATTGGTCGAAGTCGTTTATTAAATTAATATGATATGAGTTAAGACATAAGAAAAGCCATCAATGGACATTTTTACACGCAAGAAAAAACTGTGTAAATGGGTAGTTGTATGATTCTGTTCAAGATAAGCTAAGTTTCAGGACTAAAGGATTACTGGTATTAAACAATCGATGAAACCTCTATAGCGGACACCTTCGGGACCTTCCTAAGTGTCCACTTAATAAGGGTTGTAAAAATTGTGCAATGTTTATTAACGATCAACATTCAACGGTTACTCTGTACTGTGATAAAGTTGCATGTTGTTAAAGAAGCTATCCAGAGTTCAAGTTCATTACCTTTGATTACCAACTTTTTATTTGTTTGTAAATGCAAAAACACTAACTGTCTTCAGTACGTATTTCAAGGACGTAAAACAATACTACTATTTTCAATTTAGTCTGGTGTCCGCTTAATAGAGGTTTTTTAACGATAGAAATTAGCCAAATACAACTTATTTTAGTGTCCGCATCCACTTAATAGAGGAGTCCTCTGAATAGGGGTTCGTTATAAAGGGAGTTATGAGACGTTTGTTTCGGGACCTGGCTTAGTGAGGGTGTCCACTTAATTGGGGGTCCGCTTAATAGAGGTTTCACTGAATTTCTTTGCCTCCGAAGTTGTTGCAATTCTTTTTAGTAAGGTGTTGCCTTATAAAAAAGCCTTCTGGAAAACACCACTGTGGTGGGTTTTGGGAGCATGTGAGAAGCCCAACCATTGAAATTTGGACCCTGTTTTACTAAGAGTGATCAGCAATATTTTAAGTTGTACCAGTCTCTTAACTTTTACTCCAAGTGAGGATAGTTGTTAACAGTGTCCACTGGATAAATCTCCAACCAGTGGATAATACAACTGGTTTCCATAAATATTTATACTTATCTCTTGGATGGTGATTTATCCAGAGGATAGCACTATCCATTGATTCAAAAACCAGCGCCAGGGCCGAATAGTGTAGCTAGCAAGTGACACTCCGACAAAATGTTAACCCCAAAATAAAAAAAAATTGTATTTAAAAAATATTATCCCAGGCTAAATGAAAACGATTTTCCTGAAGAGCTACTTTATGAAATGCTAAAAAATAGCATTTGAATCAGGAGATTTACCAAGATCCCACCACAAACTTTTCATTCACACAGCCGTAATTTAGAAAGCTCTCCTAAGATATACTTCCGGCCCGGGGATATGCTAGCAAGTAGTGCTGTAACCACCATCTGCTTAGAGATTCATTAACCCTGTCCCACAAAGTAACCAGGAAACAAAAAGAAAATGAAATAGATTGCATGCGTCATGAAGACGGACTATTTTTTATTGTCTGAAAGCTTTACAAAAAGGGTTTCTGAATATGCTAGAACTGAAAGTACAATTAAGGATACAGCTGTACAATACTGTTGCGTGATTTTCACCACAGCATTATTCAGACTTAAACTTATGTACTTCACACACAAAATATAATCTTTTTTTCTATTATTTATCGTAAGGATGGCAACAACGTCGCTTCCCTAAGTGAAATGCAATACTACTGTCTTACTGTATTTATAAATAGTGCTGGCTAAGCTTGTTAGCAATTTTGCACTCAGAGTTCAGACTTCCGCATGAGAAGTTGTTTCTTTCTTGTCAATTTCGTTCTGCACGAGCGACTCATCCAGACTTGAAAAGCAACACCGCCACTTGCCCAAGATAGAAGTAGATGAAATGCTTGGTTTCATGCGTCACATACGAGCCAAAATTCCTTCCAACAATACAGTGCCAAGTTGGGTTGTATTTCTTGTCAAATTCCTTCTTGATATAAGCCGCGATGTCTTTCTCGATGTTAAACTTTTCCATCGCTTGTGTGGCACACTCGACGGCATCTTGCTGCATGTCTTCGGTCATGTCAGCATTTTTTATCACTGATTTTCGGTCTGTCATCTAGAAATCGACATAAAGGCAAGACGTGTACAACTTGTTTTCAATACGTAAAAAAACGAACTTATGAGAATAAGATATACCACGCTCCAAGAAGCTCACGAAAAAAGAGGGGTGCCTCCCTTCACGACCACGCCTACATTTAAAGGCACAGAGAAAAATGAAATGTACAAAAGAAGCGAATTGGTTACCTTGTCTAAAAACAGCTTTCCGCAACTTACACAAACCTTCGCCACCGATATTCCCTTTCTCAAACAGCTACAAATCAAACAAATTACTACAACATCCCTTCTTCAGAGTTTGATTAACCACGCGATGGTACACCTAATATTTCAAATTTCATTGGTTCATTTCGAGTAGCTTATTTTGGCGGCCTATATCAACCCATAATGCACTGCATGAATCAATGTACTGCCCAGTTCTCTTCGGAAACTTTCAAACGTCTCTCAGTGGGAAGGGGAAACAGTATGAAAAAAAACCGGCAGGGGAAGTACAAAATACCCGTAAAATTCCGAAAATAAGCCCCGGGCAGGGGCTTATATTCGGAGGGAAATTTGCGTTTCAAAATCGATGGGGCTAGCTTGTAGTGGGAAGGAAATTTACCATTTTTTCTTTGTTTTTCTTTGTATTTGAGGGCAAATTCCAAGTACAAACCCCCCGGGGGAGGGCTTATATTAGGAGGGGCGATTTAATGGAGGGTTTTTTGCGTTGCGATTTTGGGGGTCTTATATTTGGAGGGACTTATACACGGAGGGGCTTATTTTTGGAATTTTACGGTATGTACATTTAACATATGACCCACGCACAATTTCGTTGGAAAACCATAAATTATATGAAAAAAGTCCCGTATGAGGTCCACGCCTCAATAGCCTGCATGGCCGGCGTTGAAAGGGGGAATTTGGGCGCACACTGATTAATGTGGTTCGCTCGTTCAGAAAAATTCAAAAACACAACGGTCATCATAAAATGCTTACTGACTGAGTTAGGTTGGGCCAGACAGGATAATATTTGGCTCTGATCTCTGTCATGACACAGACCCTGCTTGGCTTAGTCCGTACGTTCTGGCCTCGAGCCAAATATCTTCCCATCCGGCTCTCCCACTCAGTCAATAAGTAAATAATATGTAACTTAGAGAGGATTCAAACCAGCAATATAACACACAGAGCTGTAGTCCACGTACAGCTACTCCTCCCCTCAACGCATACTAAAGAGTTTAGCTAAACAAAACAAATCAAAGTAAACAATAAAGTTACTTAGCTAATTTGAGCCGGATAGAGTCTACAAAGTTACTTGTTTACTTCCAGTTCCTTGCTGGTATAAAAATATTTGTTGTAGTGAACACCATTACAGCGCGGCCAGGAAAGCCATGAACACTGGAAATATCTCAGGAATGTTTATTGTTTTATGACCAATCAGAGAAAATATCAGGACATGCTAACTGGCCACAAAACCACAAACTAATTGACGTTCTTGCTTGCAGTTCAGTTTTCTCTCGCCTGATTGGCTTTTTTCTTGCAACACAATAACATTCCAGAAATATTTCTGGTGTTCACAGTTTTCCCGGTTTGACTGTAAGACACCCTTAGTACCAGAGACTTTCTTCAGACTGAAAGAAAAGTGGGGCATCACATACCACTTTGCAGCAAAGCTGCAAGGGTGTAGTTGATCATGTGAACAAATCCATGAGCATTATGCTTGGCTCGTAAATTATTCTAGTCTTATCAATAGGGAGAAGCAAGCAACTAAGTGGATGAGTTACCAGCCAAAATAGCCCAATAATCAGATGTCTGAGGTCGATCACAGCCCCTTCACTTCTCTCCCTCTCCTAAAGTGAAGGGGCCTCTGATGTCTGTGAATCAGGCTATAGCCAAACAGGAAAGCTAAACTGGAATGGGCAAAAGAAGAGAGACGGAACACACTCTTTCTGCCCACAATTCATCTCATTTGCTTTACTTCTAATTTCTCCTCAGCAAGCTTTGGAACATGATCAGTATAACATACATCTACATATACGAAGTCCACGATAATTATAAGGAACTATTTTTACATCCGAGTAATAGTAAAATAAAATGCAAAAGAACCTTGATATGGTGGAACCTTGTTTTAGCAAACTTAGCCTGTTTTAGGCCCTCAGATAGTAGGGATGATGCATATAAAGCGTGAGGCATGCAAAACTATCAGTGTGTGACCTGGGAAAAGGGGGCGGTGGCGGCTGCCCTTCCCCTCCCCAGTTCTCTCCCATTTTATTTTCCTTTTTTGTGCTTTCCCAATTTTTTTGTGGGCCTGCAACAAGCTATGGCAAACTATTTTGCCAATCCCTTGGCCCTTTGCCATGTCCAGGATCCACCATATCTGAGGCTAATCAAAGAAGGAGGAAAAACTGAGCCTTGCGTCATTTATGAAATGGTGCTTTATTTTAAAAAAAGAATGAGTGCATCTTTCTAAAACTCATTATCAATTGGTATTCACACAATAAAAGTATCAACATATATAGTAATTTATTTTTAAAAAGATACATGTCGTGCCAGGGTGTTTTTAACTTAATATATTCACATTATTTGCAAATACCACCACTTTGAGTAATGGTGAAACTAAATAGAAAAAGAAAGACAAAGACAAATTCGTTTTTTTCCCTGTCAAATAATGGACACTTTACACTTGAGCTGCAGGATTAACCAGATTTAAACAGTAGAACAGCAACTTGTCCAAGATAGAAGTAGATGAAATGCTTGGTTTCATGCGTCACGTATGAACCAAAGTTTCTTCCTACAATACAGTGCCATGTTGGGTTGTATTTTTTATCAAATTCTTTCTTGACATAGGCTGCTATGTCCTTCTCGATGTTAAACTTTTCCATGGCTTGTGTAGCAACCTCCACTGCATCGTGCTGCATATCTTCTGACATGTCTGCATTTTTTATTACTGCTTTTCTGTCACTCATCTGAACAATATGGGTGGAGATATATTGTAGTTAATTTTTTATCTCAGATAATTTTGTTTTTCTTTTGTTTTTGAGTATGGTAATGATTGCTAATGAAGTTGAAACAAAAGAAAAATAAAAATTACCTGAGGCAAAAAATTAACTACAACAGTTACACAAAAGATTGAGCATAACTTCATCTTCATCTTTACATAATATTAATCATTAACGCATAGAATAAAGACACACAGTAAGGGTGTGTTTCTTTACTAAAATCCAAAATCAGATCAAAAATCCAGTTCATTGCGATTTTTTTTGGTAAGAAAAGAAACAATGTATCCAAAAAAGGATTATTATTCATTTTTTACAAAGAAATGACTCACAAGAACAATGGTAACCCCGCAAAAGAATAACACAGCTGCTGACAGTGTTGCAAGATTGCTGATCTTTCATTGTATTCTAGGCAATTAGCTCAAGGAAACTGCCTTCGATGGGCCAAATGAAGACAACATTATTAGAATAAGATACTGTAAAATTCCGAAAATAAGCCCCTCCATGTATAAGCCCCTCCAAATATAAGCCCCCTGGGGGCTTGAAATTGGAAAATTGCCCTAAAATACGAAGTAAAACAAAGCAAAAATGGTAAATTTACATCCAACTATAAGGCTAGCCCAATCGATTTTGAGACGCAAATTCCCCTCCGTAGATAAGCCCCTCTGAACATAAGCCTCTCCAAAAATAAGCCCCTCAAAAAGGGCCTTTGAAAAATATAAGCCCCAGGGCTTATTTTCGGAATTTTACGGTATGTGCTGAAAAAGTAATTTCTTGAAGGATGCGCCAGCAAAGTTGCGTAGCAGTTTTCTCGTAGTGAACTACAACAATGCACACCCTGTTGGCGTTACAATTCTACCCCCCAGAAAAACGGATAAAATTGATTGCTTAATCCATGCCTTGGGTTCAAAAAGCGGCTGTAAAGATGAGCAGTACAGTCAAACAGCTGGTGTAAGTATTAAAACTGTTTCCAGTTACCGCTGGCTGTAGTCACTCTTTTCGGATCTGTAGCAATGAAACGCTTTGGGCCTTGTATCCGAATTATCTAGTTCAGCTGGATAGTGATCCAAATAATCCAGCTACATTATTTGGAATTTGGTAAAGAAACAAAAGGTCCCTTTTTGGACTAAAATTTGCATTTGGATTTTAGTACGCACTCTAAAAAGTAGATCAGTGGATAATTAAAAACCTTTAACTGTTTCCATAGCAACCATCAACATGTCCACATTTTCAAAGGATTTTGTTCTAAAATGTGGTGAATACAAAGATCTATGCAAGAGCAATCTGTTGACAGGCTATGTAAGGTATTTCATAAGCCTGTTTTATTTTTACTCCTGAGAAGAAATGTGTAAGCAAGTTTTAATTTCATAAGCTCACTTTTAAAATACACTTAAAGATTAATAGCTATCTAACAGAATCTTAAGTCTAGAAACTATCCTTACATTGTAAGAGCCGACATTTACTAACCTTTACTGTTATTCACTGGGACAATCTGTGTGAACAGAGCTGTAAGTTCCTCCTCCACGCGGAAAATTAGGAAAGTTTGTTTGTTCAGTCTGGTTTTGACAACCTGAATGATCTGCGGGGAGTATTTACTTCCGTTCAACTGATAGGATGCAGTCTTCGAAGAGTAGAATATGATTGGATAATTCTAGTTAATATTTCACCAGCCTATATCAACCCATAAATCTTCGCGAGCTATAAATCATTCATGTGCAAAAATCCCTGTTTTACCACACGGACGCCCCGTTAACCGCTTTGCTGAAACTCGTGGCCAGCCATCTTTAAAATTTTAGGCGTCGCAACCATCTTTTTCTTTGAGAACGCTGCTTGAGCAGAATACGACGTCATGACGTCCATGAATCGAAGTAACAACAATAACAGGAGGGTATACGTAGGTAATTTACCTTCCAATATAGATGAGAGAGATTTGGAAGATATTTTTTACAAGTACGGGGATATTGCTGACGTTGACTTGAAACTACCACGTTACGGTACTGGCGGCACGCCGTTTGCCTTTGTTGAATTTCAGGATCCAAGGTACGCACATAAATATGTGATGTATTTCACATCTTTTGAACCCTTAAAATACTTTCCACGATATCCTTTTGGATGGTTTGGATGGTAAGTATTCTAGGCTTTAAGGAGTTCGGGTTTCGATTTCATTTGTGACGTTGAGATCGAGAAGGCTTTGTTAACGTATTCACCTGTGGCTATTTAATGCTCCGATTTTCCCTCAAAACGAGTCTTTCGGAAATTCGCTCAATCTTTTCTTTTCGGTGAAATTGGTCAATTGGCGCTTTTCACCCTGTTCAGAAAAAAGACTCGCAAAGATGTAAATTTTATGACTGTCGAAGTGAAGGTAACCTTATTAATAATTTATGTACGAACATGTTGAGAAAAAACCTATTGATTTATTATCGTTTTCGTCTCTGTAGGGATGCTGAAGATGCAGTAAGAGGAAGGGATGGATATGAATTTGATGGTCAAAGAATTAGAGTGGAGTTTCCTCGTGGTGGACGTGGGGGTAGGTCTGGTGGTGGTGGAGGAGGATTTGGTGGTGGAGGTGGTGGTGGCGGCGGCGGCGGCGGTGGATATGGAAGGGGCCCTCCTCCACGTCGCTCTGAGTACCGTGTCTTGGTATCTGGACTGCCTCCTACTGGTAGTTGGCAAGATCTCAAGGACCACATGCGGGATGCTGGTGACGTTCAGTTTACTGATGTCTTCAAAGATGGCACTGGTATTGTGGAGTATTCTCATTATGACGACATGAAATATGCCCTGAAGCATCTTGATGATTCCAAGTTCCGTTCGCATGAGGTATGCAATTCCATTAGATTACTCTTTTGCTTGATCAATGTGACAAAAAGGATTTTGTGAAAGTGACTATTTTAATATATTATACCTTTCTTTAATCCTTTAAGGGTGAAGTTGCTTTCATTCGTGTCAAGGCAGACAGTAGGAGCCACGGTGGTGGTGGTAGTGGTGGAGGTGGAGGTAGATCTGCAAGCCGAAGTCGATCACGTTCAAGAAGTAGAACGCCGAAAAGGAGATCCCGCTCCCGCAGTCCACGTCGATCATATTCACCAAAGAAATCCAAGTCCCCTTCAAGGTCACCAAAGAGAAAGAGATCTGCTTCTCCAAGGCGTTCCAGATCACGTTCTCGCTCGCGTTCATAAACATTTCCAGTGTTTTTCCTTTTATGTATTTTTTTCTCTTTTTTTTTGCTTTGAAGCACAGAAAAGTAGTTACTTGTAGCATTTTATTGTTTATATTAATTTTGTGGTCATGTGCCTTTTTTACTCTTCCATGATGTCATTTTCAGGGTGGCACAAGCAATTTGTGATTATGGAAAGGAAAGCTAGGAAACAAAACAACTGTCTGTAGATGTTTCTGCACTAGTCTTGCTAAGGATATCACAAACTGGATAAGGAAACAATGACATATGGAAACAGTAGGAACAATTGGACATAGGACATTTTCTTCGGACATGGTATGCATGGTTTCTCTTCAAAAATACAATGCTCCATGAAAAAATGTGCCACTTTTTAAATTCACCCAAATAAGCGAAGTGCTGAATTTCAAGTAGGAGAGTTATAAATGATTCATTTAAATGTAGAGACCAACTAGTTTGTTTCATTTTATTTTCACTTTTGGTATCTTAGGATAAATCTGTACTTTAACGCAAGAATAAAGCAGTTCAGCAGATTTCTCTGGATGGTTTCTGTAAGATCTTTGTGGCAAGTCATTTCAGAAGAAAAGTGTCACTAAAGACCACCAAAGCACATGAGAGTTCATCATAGGAGAATTGTAGCTCAAGTTTAGTCGTGATTATTTTTAGTTAGCTGTTTTGACTAAACCTGTTGGATATGAGAGATGGGTGTGCCCGAAAGTTCAACAGTATTTCTTAAGGGTAATTTTGCTTAGAGGGTCATAAGTAGCCTGCCAGCAAAGGCACAGCTTTTAGGGTGGGATAAGAAGAGTTGATGAAAAGTCTTGTGCAAGTGTATTGACAAGTTAACTTCTTTATAATCCTATGACAGATCTAATGCTGTCTGGAGGAAACCGGATCCTCTCATGTCAGTGTCAGGGATCACGGATTAGGATAGGATCTGGAGATCACCTCCAGTACAGTTTTGGGACAGAACAATGGAAACTATCAGGAGTCAAAATTTTGGATCTCTGTCACATGCAAAGGATTTGGATGTTAACTGGTTTCAACATTTTTGGAGGAAACTCAGGAGGAAAACAATCACTTTCTTTCAATTAGGGTTCTCACAAAGCGCTCTAGTGTGGAGGTTAACATCATTGTGGTATGACAATTCAGTCTTGATGAAATTTCCATGATGGTACCTTTCCTAGACTTTTCTTGTAACTTGCAATTTAAGGCTGAAGTTTGCTTCTCAATTGGTTTCCAGTCACTCCTGCATTCCCCGTTTCCCTTGCATGCGTCACCTTGAAGGTTAGGATAGGTACCCTTTCAGCTAGTCCTTTTTCAAGGAAATGCCCCCTTTGGGAATTTGTTTTTACTAACCTTTTCACTTCAGGAGCACCATGGCCTTGGATTTTGTGCAGATAAGTAGTTGAAAGCAAAAAGACAAGTCAAGCTTACTTTTGCATTAAAAACTAAATTGTTATTCTTGATTACCATTAAAAGTTTTCTTCAGATGAACATTTTTTGTCTGTTGTTTTCTTTGTTTGGGTGATTGTGTGTGCAGGGTTTTCATCATTGTCAACCTCACAAAAGTGTTGATGGCAGCCCACTAGGGGTGCTTACCATTCACTCAAACCACCCGGGTGGACATCTTGTGTATTACTATTAAAATTTGACATGGTGGGAGAATGGCTGGTCTGAAATGTCATCTGTCTCTTCATCTTAACCACTTGTAGGAGTGTGGGAAGAGATGGTTGATATTTCTCACCAGAGAACGGCCCACTACAAAGTATATCCAAATCAACTGAACAGCTGAAGTAAACGGAATGGCACATACCAGTTGATTTTTCATTTGGAATTTGTGGGTTTCCCTCTTAAATAATAAATACCCTAGGTCTTCTTATCAGTCACAGTTTTCCTGACAAGCTAGCGGCATATTGTATTTTGAGAAACCTGGACCCAGTTGAATGAAAGTGGATAACAATCCAGTGAAACAGGCAATTATTGTTCTCCATAATGCTTGTCCACTAAAAAGTGATTTATCCGATGGATAGTGCTGTCCAACACTCTAATAATGGGGTGTAAAGGGTTAAGAAACCTAACTGGGTAAGAAATTGATTGTTACTCGAGCTTGTGTAGCAGCAAGAGGTTACTTGAACTTGCGTAACAGCGAAAGTCTAAAACTTTTGCAAGCTGTTTCTGGTCTTCATCGTTGGTCGCCAAAAGGCGGGTCAGGGTTCTTGGCAGAAACCATGGAAACTAGGCACCAGAGGCGCTTTCCATTTAGTCAAAATTTCCGCAATTTCCGGTTCGGCGGTAAATGGAACACGTTTCGTCGGTTCGTCCCACTGGAAAATTCCCAAAAAAAGTGGAAAATATAAAAAGGTGGTCCCGTTTTCCCGGTCGGAATTTCCGAACGGAATGTCGTGTTCCATTTACATTTCTCATAGTTTGTACCAGTTCCAGGTCCACGGTCGGGCACCACCACGTACCGGGGTTTACGACCAAATTGAACAACTTTTTACCAATCGGAAATTCCACTTTTGCTACCACCGAAATTTCCGGGTTTTTTTCCTAAATGGAAAGTGCCCCAGGTTAACTCTTGGTTAATGCCAAAAATACATGGTGCCTGCATTTGTGTTGCATTTTATTAGAGATAAAAAAACAGCTTTTTTCCATTTGTAGCTCATTATATGAGTGTGCTCTTGTGGAGTTTTAGCTGCACTTTGAAGCATAACAGTTCTCTTTACCCCTGTTGGGTATACTCCACTTAAAGGCCCATATGGGGATGTGCCACTTGACCGAGTATGGTTTTTTTCCTCTCTGGTCCTAACAGGGTATATAATTTCATGCGAGTCAGTCTTGATAAAAAACAGAGTATTGCTTGCACAACTGATTTGGTTTGCTCACAGGCAGACCAACGGAACTGTTTGGGGCATCATGATGTCACGTGTGACATGTGATGTCAAACATTTACTGTATTTCGTGACACGTGCTCGCGGCTTTATTCAAGGAGTTGGAAAAATGCTGCATGAAACATAGAAGTTTGCACCTTGTGATCCCAAAATGTTAATATATGGCAAGAAAGGTGAATTGAAATAAACTACCATGTGGTTTCAGCATTTACTTCTATGTTTTACTTTGAGTTGCTTGAAACTCAGCGACACTGCTGACCATATATTGGTGTGCCTGTGATTTACTTGATGTTATTTAATTGTACTTGAAGTATACAAAATTAAAGCAATGACAATTGATCTGAGTGAATATGCCCGGGGGCGGGGGGTACTCTTATATAAGCCATATAATATAGGTATGTACCCAAAGGGTATGGCTTTTGGGCTTTTTTGGTCTGAAAAAGGGGTATACACTTTGCTCATTTTAGTGTGGAATTGGGTATGGTTAAAACGAGAAATAAGTGAATTCGAAATGGATTTGAAGAAATTTTTTGTTTGCGCTCTAATCTGAGTAATGATGACATAAATTCTGCCAAGACGCGAGGTCTGAAAATGGGTATGGATTTTAGAGGTCAGGTCTGAAAACGGGTGAAGAAAATGATATTTTTTGGTCTGAAATAGGGTCAGGGTGGCACACCCCCACCAAGAATCCTCAGGAGTACCTCTCCCACTGCAATTTCTCCATTGAAATTTCCAATAAATGGCTTTCAAACCAGACTGGTTATGTATCTTAGGATTTTTTTGTCCTAAACAGGTTCAGAGTTTCAAACCGTCAGCAGCTTACCCACGCCCAAATATTGATCGAGTTCCCCTACTCCGGTCATTACCCTTCTTTAAACATTTAATTCCTTCCCCCCCCCCACTCCCAACTCAATCTGAAAATGGCACCTTCCTCTGGAGATCTCTGGAGGTCTCTAGAGAAGCATGGTTGAACCTCAAGTAAAATAAAGGAGACCTCTGAGATTTTCGTTTTATTACTTGTAACTCAAGTTTACGGCGTTCGAAAATGGGGTTGGGAAATGGACACAGGCTCGGATAGGAGAGGGGAAGGAGGGGGTGGAAACTAGTTCCCTTGTTGGGGGTCTGGGTTCCAGAAAAATATGTGGCTGACAGGCTGGCAGTCACAGGTTAAGTCACAGGTAGGGAAGTAATCGTTGGAGATGGAGGAAGAAAAAGGTCAAAAGAGACCCTTAGAAGAAGACGAAAGCTGTTTGCTTTCATTAGCTGATGAACTGATTGATATGGTGTTGTCTTATCCTGTTATTGATCACCAAGATTTGTGTCGCTGTGCCCAAGTTTGTAGAAGGTTGCATCGAATTGCAATGGGAAATGAAGTGTGGAAAAAGAAATCACTTTTGAGGTAAAGGACATATTTCGACCCTATCTGCCTTGAAAATTTGGTAATTTCCGGTTAAATCTAGATTTTGTGTGTGTTTTTTAGCCTATTCCTTTCTTACGACCCAAACAGAGAGACAATCTAAACGTATGTTAATAATCCAAAGTGTGACTGATCATGGGTGTTTATTTTCTTGTAAGCTTGCAAAATGGGGTATATCCACTTCATACCTTACCCCCACCATCTCCTGTTGATGAGATGAGGGGTAGTTGTATCAACAGTACTCTATCTCTTGAATATTTCCAATAAAATTTGTTTTTCCCAGTGGGAAAAGTAAAAGTAGATGACAGACGTTGGAACGTTTTGACAATTTGGGTAGAAGTTTGAGGGTAGGTGTGTGTGTTTACCTTTTGAGAAAAAACTATATCTGATTCCAAGCGAAGCAAGGCGTTAAGCGCCTTGCGAAAGCAAATTTATAATTTTGTTGCACGCGAAGCACGTGGAACGCGCGAGGATCGTAAGCACTTAGTGCAATTTGGCTTTGGTCATAAATCTTCCTATCGGTTTGGTATCCGCAGTTCCCTAGCAATGGCGTCCCAATTGACATCAGCAGTGTGACGTCATCGTAAGTAGAGTGTGATTTGGCTTTGTTCATAAATCTTTCTATCAGTTTGGTATCCGCAGTCGCCTAGCAACAAAGTCACGAAGAGTCCCAATTGGTGTCACCAGGGTTTCCAGGCAACAGTTCCACGGGTTAGAACTGGTTCGATGACAAACACCGTGATTATGGTCAGTGAAAAAATGTTTGCAATTGGTGAAATATCACGACCACCCAAGCTATAAACAAAAGAGAAGAGCAAATGCAATAATAATAATAGATCCAAGTCTGCAAAGTTTCAGCAAAAACATCGCCCTTGAATAAACACAGCAATGAAAATGCTAAAAATTTAAGACAGTACTCCCTATGATGGCCTATACGGGGAGGCTCTGCTAGGCTTAAGGTATATGAAAGGGTAGGGATTTCACTAGTTGAAGTATATAGAAGGGTAGGGAAATCTGTCATTTGGGTCTGTGAAAGAGCCCAAAAATACTAAGAATTGAATTTTATGGCTTTATAAAGTCGAGAAAAGGTTCTATTTTTGTGATTGATTCCTATTTAAAAGACAGTGCATTTACAGCAGTTAAAAGGGATGCAAAGTTCTAAACAGATTATGTGAAGGGGGTACCATTTGTTAATAGAAGGTATACAAAAGGGGTACCTTTTTCGTTAAAAATGGGTGAGGGGTTGGATCTTGTGGTGGAGCCTCTCAGTATAAACATTTGTTGAGTACCCCTTCCCCTGGGGATCCCTCACTATGATTAACTTTTATTCATAAATTGAACACATTGATTCTCAATTTTCTCTTCTTGGGGTATATAACAAATCACTTTATGACTGGTTCCTCTGGAACTAGTTAAATTTTTTCACCGGGACTAATGTTAGAGATTCATTTACTTCTAAACTACTTCAGTGATATTCATAGTAATCAAATTATGTGTCTTGAAGACAAAGTGTATCTTATTAAGAATCAAACTAATGTATTTCTTTTTATCTCCACATTGTGTAACTTTCAGATGGAATTTTTGGAAGAATGTGCCAGGTGAAAATTGGTCAACAACATACAGAGACAGATTTCTTATGGAGCAAAAAATTCACCATACTTTGCAGACTATATCTAGAAAGTATTATACTAAAGTAGATGTCTACAAGAAAGACCTTAAAAGATTTGTGGACTTAGCAAAGGAGAGTCCTTGGCAGTCTTGTCATATCGGTGATTCCTTGCATGAACTGTTACAAGGAGATGTCTGGTAAGAAATAAGTGTACAGTTGAACCTCCGCTAACAGCAACCTCTCTACAATGGCCACTTTTTTTCGTCCTGGCAGACAAGAAATCCATACTTAATGATTCTTGTTTAAATCCTCTCTACAACGGCCACCTCTTGACAATGGCCACTTTCTTCTGTCCCCAAGGTGGCCATTGAAGAGAGGTTCAACTGTATAACTGAAACTTGTCAGTCTTGTCTTTGGGTTTCCAACATTAAATCAATAATGTCCCAACAATGATCAGTATCAAATCTGTTTGCATTCAAAGGGCCACAGTTAAGTTATTAGAGACGGGTCTTTAGAAGGAAGTTAGTATGTGATTACCCCAAGGGAATGCATTATTTAATATTAAAATATTGTCCCACTAACCCAGTGACAAATGTATGGTGTAAAGAGAGGAGGATTTACTAATAAGTGTTTGTTTCAATAAAGCAGACTAACAAAGTGATTGTAAACAAGCATGATTTATTCTCTTTACAGAGACAGACTCGGGAATTTTTCTTGGGGGTTCCAAACTTGTGTGCTGTTGAAACCATATTCTAACCATCCAATACCTGCCAACTTTTTCTGACTCAAATGCATGAGATTTTCGTCCTGTAATGATGTAGTTTCCAAAAATTGCCTAGTGACTTCCTAAGATTTTCTGATGACTTCCAAACATTGCTGAAAATGTCTGCAGATATTCTAACCACCTTTGAGTGCTTTCAAAGATATTTCAAAGGAAAGGCCACAAGTTTAGCATGTTGTGATACAGTTAGGAGATAAAGTCATCATTAAGGACCTATTTGGAATATTTTCCGGGGAAATTGAAAGTAATTTTCATTTAAATCATGTGTTAAAGTAAAAAAAAAAAAAATCATGTCCAGATTTGTGAGTCAGGCATGAGAAATTGTCCTTGATGCGAGAGATCAATGTAGTCTGTAGGTGTGAGACTCAGGTATAATTATGTGTGAGGGTGGCAGGCGTACCATCCCCTTAAGTTAACACTTAACAGTAATGAGAAAAATATTTTGATATTTTTTTATAACCCTTTCTCAGGTTAGAGCTGGGGCAAACCTCTAGGTCACTCAGAATATCAAGAAGGATCCGCAAATGCAATAATAATTTGCTTCTCATCAGTGGCACACATAGTTTCCGATCAGTAAATATTAATTATTTTTGTCTGCAGCAAAGTAAATTTGACCTACAGATATTATGCAAGGAAAGTGAACTCCTATCTCAAAATTGACCAACTTAAGGATGAATGGGAACAATTTCTAGCATTACCTGATGAACAACAACCACTGGAAAAAGGTAAAAATACAAAGAGTGGTAACAATCTACTTGATTGTTATAACCTTTTAAAGCTGTAACAGTCAATAAAGGAGTTATGAAATGTAGTTATTAATTAAGTTAGGTTTTGTGGATGGACTACCGGGGCACAAACAATCAAATTAAACCTCTCCAGCATCAGTTTTACACAAATTTTGTGTTTTCACAAGTTGTGAATTAAATAATTTTGGAAATTCTGACTTTTGGCTTTTAAGGGAATGAGGTGATTATAACTGTATTGAATTGAGAATGAAAAAGTTTTCCAGCCACGCTGCAACAAACTACTGTGCAAAAATCACTGAATGACAAAAAAATAATTTTGATTAATTGTTTCATTTGCTCCGTTAGCTACACCATTTTTCTAAAAGAAAATTGGAAAATAATGGAGCTGTCAAATATATATTTTATTAATTTAAAGAAAAGTAGCTTTTTCAGTCTGTCCAAGCACAAAAGTATGGTGCCAGACAGAGGGTCAATTGTCACTGTGGTATCTATTCACTTCATTCCATCGTCAGATTGTTCCAAGCCAGATTATGGTACTCAATAGTCAGATTGTCACAGAATATGGTCAGAACTTTTCACAAGTCTTTAGGCCACAAGCAGAAACAAGGGCATTTCTTGTGTGTATTCTTTAGAAGCCAAAAAAGGGCACTTCACCTTGAGTTTTACACGGAAACTGTGGAGCAATCTAACTATAAAGTGGAACGATCTGGCTTGGAATGATCTGACTATGGGACGAAACAACAGTAAACCATCAATGCTACTGAACTGTCCTGACAGCAGAGAGAAAGCCCCACCCTCCTCCATTTCAGCAGCACTGACAGGTTGATGAACCTACAATAATATTTTAATATTTTTTAAATCTGTAAAAGGTTTGAACCCATGAGTCATAATTTTCATGAGTGTGGTCCTGAATAGGACTGTTGTTGACAGTGACTGACATTTTGACAATCTGCGCAGTAGTCATCTTCAGAGTCAAAGTGAGTTGTATCATGTCAGTTGATGGTATTATTAGACTTATTACATCATGACTTAATTAACCAATCACATCAATAACCAGGGTTAATACCATCACTTGACCTGATACAACTCACTTTGACTCTCAAGATGATTACCGCACAGGTTGTTGAAACATCAGTCACTGTCAACAGCAGTCCCATTCATGACTACTCTCACTGGGAAGATCATGTTCCAGCTAAACTTTCTTAGCAGCTCTTCTCTTTGTTATAGGTGCCATGTTAATTGCAAGATGGATACTTGATGAGGAGGAAATTGATGAAAACAGCACTTTTGCTGAACTTGACGAGATAGCAAAGATGGTGCAGGATAGTCTTGGGGGAAATCTTACCAGGGGAGAGACTGTTTTGACAACCGCTCCAGAAGAAAGGATGTCTATAAGCACTGAAGAGTCAGCTCCAGCAGTTACACACCCTGCTGCATGTTTGAGAATAATAGACTGTCTTAAGCAAGTATTATACCAACAGCTGCAGTTTAAAGGAAATGTTAACGATTACTATAAAAAGGAAAACTCAATGCTACATCAGGTATATATGGTCTTACGTTTTAAATGAATTTTTGACTCCCAGTCTAGTCAAAATCAGCCGGCAGCCAACATTTTGGCCACTTCCAGGGAAATATTTGCCACCTTCTCATCACTGAAAAAATACTCACATTTTGGCCTTTGCCACCTGCTACTCTTGGTATGGAGCATTTTCACTTATGTGGGCAGCATCTATGCAGTAAAAGAAAACGTTCAAATAAGAATATAGTGCATGCAACCCCCTTGGGACTGTTTTGCAAACTAACATGGCAGGTATTTCATTGTTTTAATTGGGACATCATTATGGCTGCCGTGATGTCATGTGAAAACACTCCATCCTGCTTGCTGTTGTAAAACGTTTTGCCTGGGTTGTGTCTTTGTAATGGAACAACTCTCTGTATAACAAAAAACATGCAGCTCTACCCAATTCCAATAATTGGTTGCTTTTGTGTAATTCAGGTTTTGTCTTAGTAGGTTAAGATGGACAGCGAAATAAAACCAGCCTTTCTCTAGGAAAAAAGGTGGTCCTTTGAATATAGCTGTCTCTCCAGAAAGGCCTCTTGCAGTGAGTAATTAGAGGCGGCTGTACTTGCAGGTTACATATATCCCCAATGTTAAATTATTTTCCTGTATATTATCAACCACATACTCTCATTATTATCCTTAATCATTATTTTGTGATGATTAAGCTTCCATCAGCTCCCTTTATCAGTATTCCATTTAGTGTGATAACAAATTTCTCAACATTTAGTTAACATAATTTTTCCATTTATCAAGGTGTTAAAGAATCGCACAGGCAACCCAATCACGCTGTCAGTCCTATTTGCTGGAGTAGCGAGACGACTTGGAGTTAAATTAGAGCCTGTGAGTTTTGAAAAGTTTTCAGTAGCAGTAACTTTGTTTGCATTTTTACTTGAGTAAGTAGCACCCTCAAATGCTGTTATAATTATTCATCTATAGAAAGAGGTTGAACTCTTATGGCAATTATTGCCACAGCTGTATCCTGTTTCTAAGTTTCCTGAATATCAAGCAAATAAATGAGCATAAATGCAAACTGACTTAAATAAATACTTCACAAGTTTTCAGAAAAATTGTTCAATATGTCCTTCAATAACTCAATATAAAGAGAATACCCTCCATTGCAACACTGCTAATCAACAGTTCTTCTTCTCCTTCTTATTTTTAAATTGTAGGTAAATTTTCCCAGCCACTTTTTGCTACGATGGAGAACAAACTTGGACCCAGAGTATGTGACATGAACGTTTACAGTATCACTTAATCCCATATCAGAGTCATTTCCTTGAATAATAATTTTAAAACTGCCACTGGAACTGCTTAGAACTTCTCTTGGCTTGGGAGATTTGATAGGTGATGAATTAACATTTATGCCTTATAGGTGTCATTTAATAAGCAGCTAGAGGTGATTTGTTAAAGTTTAAAACACAAGGTACAGCAGAGTGTCTTAGAGATGATAAAACACAAGCTGTTAGTTTAGTGAATGATCTAAATTTTTTCTCTTTATCTGTCCATTCCTCCAGTCATTCTTCCAATACTCTTTGGACTGTTGAGAAAATTGGGCTAAACCTTAGATGTATTTTATCACATTTGAAAAAATGAAACTTCTTCAGGAATTATTAATGTACTATTTTTTTTTACAGTTATGTTTAGGGTCTAACTCTTTGTAGCTTTTATTGTCTTGGGTATATGAGCTGGCACGACAATGAACCTTCCATCCAGTGATAATAAATCATTAACATAAAATTCTTATTTAGGGACCGACCATTAGAAAACTTATGGGGGGGGGGGGGCAGTGAAAAACCCAACAAAAAATTGATGCAAGGAAAAATATATGAAAAAAAACTAAATCAAGCCTATTAAAACAACCAAAAATTTAACGCTATGCCAAAAAAAAAATTAAGAACAGAATATTATATTTTGTTTTAAGTTTTTTTTTTAGGTTTAACTTTGTTTATATTTTTGTTGTTTGGGGATATAAAGGAGCAAGAAAAAAAACCTTCCAACCAGTAAAAAAAAAAAAATAACAAAAAAATTTTAATTAAGGACGGACCAATAAAAAAAGTATGGGGGGGGGGGGGTGGCGAAGTACCAAAAAAAAATTCGCGCGAGGTAAAATTAAATGAAAAAAAACTCATGCACGCCAATTAATCCTGAAAAATATTCACGCTATGGCCTAAAAAAAATTCATGCAAGAAATTTGATAACGAAAAAAATTCCTGCGGTTCGAAAATTCCCCTCCCCCCCATAACTTTTCTAATGGTCCGTCCCTTAGATAACTTCATTGGGTAATGCACAAAAATGAAATAAGTTTGGAATTTTTGATGAAATATCTTCATTGACTTTTCACTTCTGGGAGTGAAATAGCCTGTGTAGACTCGCCCCTTCCTTCCTCCCCTGTACACAGGGTAGGAGTGAAAGAGTTGATAACAGTTTCTTTTTTTTGAAAGGGCAGATCAGTCCACGGCGTATAAGTACATAGACTGCTTTAATGGAGGAAGACTTCTCTCAGAAGGACAGTGTATTGACTTGATTTTACCACCCTCTCTGGATAATTCCTCCTTACGAAAAAGCGCTTTTATCAAAGCCACGCCCAAACAGGTAATAAACACATTAACAATAGAAATTTTAACTCAACTCCTTCTCCAGTGTTTGAGGCTAAAAACTGTTCCTTGTCGTAGCAGTTGAAAGTAACGGACAAGATTATAACAGCAACCAATTTGAAAAAAGCTGTGGTTACACGCAAAAGAAGATCCCGCTGTAGCCATAAGACAGTCAAACCTGGCGACAGTGCTTGCTCTAACAGAAGGATATCGTACCAATCAAACATACAGTAGCTGCACTGTGAGAGTTTCTTCTGTCACAGTTAAACACATGACAAGGCGTGCTATAACGGTGTCTAACGCAACAATCAAACACTACATAACAGAGTGCCTTTATAACAGTAGATAAGGTATCATTCAGGCACAGACCAGAGCGCGCTATAAGACTGTCTAACGTAACAATCAAACATCAAACAGAGAGCGCTGCACAAGTGTCTAACCTAACAATCAAACATCGAACAGAAGGCGCTGTAAGAGTGTCTAAGGTAACAATCAAACATCGAACAGAGCGCGCTATAAGATTGTCTAACGTAACAGTCAAACATCGAACAGAGCGCGCTATAAGATTATCTTACGTAACAGTTTAACATAGAACAGAGCGCGCTGTAAGAGTATCTAACATCGAACAGAGCGCGCTGTGAAAGTGTCTAACATCGAACAGAGCGCGCTGTGAAAGTGTCTAACGTAACAGTAAAATATCGAACAGAGCGGACTATAAGTGAGTGTCTACCATAACAATAGCCTGAGTAGCAGGCGTTCGAAAGGGAAGGGGAAGCGGAATTAAGGCGCGAGGGAGGAGGGAGGAGGGAGGAGGGGAGGGGTTCCTTTTCTTTCTCCCTCGCGCGCCCAAATTCCCCCTTCCCCTTTTAACGCCTGCCACGCAGGCAGGCGTAGGAGTATAGTGCCCTAAAGGGTGTCTAACGTCACAACTAAAAATAGATCACAGCGCGCCATAAGAGTGTCTAACGTAATAATCAAATACAAAACGGAGCGCGCCATGAAAGCTTCTAGCGTAACAATCAAACAATAAGACATAGAGCGCTATCAGTGTCTAACATAACAAACATACAATATAGCGCGCCATAAAAATGTCTCTAAAGTAACAACCAAGCAACAGCGAAGCGTGCTGTAAGAGCGTTTAACGTAACAGCTGAACGTAACAATCAAACGCACAATGGAGCGCGCTATAAGACTGTCTAACCTAACAACCAAACACAAAACGGAGTGTGCTATAGGAGATTCCAACATAACAATCAAACATATAACAGAGCGCGTTATGAAAGTGTCTAACGTAACAATCAAAAACGCATAACGGAGTGCGTTATATAAGTGTCTAAAGGTAATAATCAAACATGCAACATAGCGCGCGATATGAGTGTCTAACGTAACAACCACGAACGAATAAACTGCGCCACAAGAGTTTCGAACGTAATAATCGAACACAGAGCGAGGCGCTTAATACAAGAGTAATTTATGAAACAAAAAAATAGATTTGAGCTGGCAATAACGGCGTCCAACAAATCAAACGCAGATCAGAGGGCGCTATGTTTGTTGTGTAACGTAATAATCAAACACAGAACGGAGCGCGCTCTAAGAGTGTTTAACATAATTATCGAAGAACGAGCAAAGTGTCTTACCGAAAAATCAAAGAGAGAAGGATGGGAAGCTTAATTATTTTAACACACGTTCTATAGCGCGTGTCGCCTTTTCTCTTGGGGTGATTTTAACGCGCGCTCGCGTTTCGCTCGCTCTACTATCCCTGAGGAAAAATATGGACTACTCGTAGTCTACACGTTCTATTGGCGCTCACGGAATGGAAGTAAGCCATTGTTATTTTTTGATTTATTGTTTTTTCCAGGTATTTATTCGCATGGTGGCTAATATCGTCAATAGCTACAGAGCAGGAGATCCACAAGACAATGGGTGAGAGCTTATAACGCTGAGTCATTATCAAGATACACAACTGAGCCACAAGGAGACACCATAGATCACAATAACAGCTATCAGGGCTGCACTTTGCTTTGAGAATTTCCACTTTTCAGAAGCCAAACGTTTGTTATTGTGAAACTCACAAAACTTTGAACACTAGAAATATTTATGGAATGTTCTTGTGTTGCGAGAAATCAGTCAGTATACAATCAACATTCCTGAAATTTTTCATGTGTTCACGGTTTTCTGAGTTTGACAGTAAAGGGTAACAGACTGACAACGGAAAATTTGTTTTTGTGTGAAATCAACTCTTGGGAAAAATATTTCTTAAGTTTAATTGGAGTTAGTTTAAGTCTGTATTTACCTCTTCAGTCAGGAGAATACCAAACCTGAAAATTGTAGAAAAAATTGAAGATATAGTTTTCGCCCCAAGTAAGGTAAATCGCATTCCTGAATCCCGGAAAGCTTTGCTCGTGGATTCCGGAATCCCGGGCTTTGGAATCCGGAATCTAGCTCAAGGAATCCGGAATCCAGCTAAGGATTCAGTAGAATCCAGTATCTAAGTTCGACTGACAAGAAATCCAAAATCCAGTACCTGGAATCCGGAATCACATCGTCACAAGGAAAAATACTGTCATAAAGGTTATATTTTACTTTTCCCTGCTTAAGATTTCGTTTAGTGAGTTACAAATGGGAAAAAACATTAGTGAATCTGCGACGAGAAGGAATAACAAGCAATACAATTTGTTCTCTAATCACTCTGCAGTGAAACGAGAACAAATAATTTTCACTCTAGAAACCATGAAACGCAGACAAGAATCAGGAATAGGCATCTCGTTTATTGATAGCTAGAACACGGGCAAAATACATGAATAAACATACTACAAACTACAGCTAACGAAGACGTAAGCTAACAATAATGTCAATAATGTACAATCTGGTAATAACCTTTCTGAAAGATTAAATATAATAACAAAAAAAGATAACAAATACAAGAAAATTTGCAGAACGGTAGCGAGAGATGCCGTCAAGTGACCTTGAATCTGCAAAGAACACCTTATATACCTGATAACAAATAATCACGCACATTGTCAAAAATAACTCACGCGACAAATACCAACACATCCGTATGCAAAGCACTGAAGCAACGTGCATTCCTTAACGCGAGAAAATACATTATTTGTACGTTTTTGTAAGGTTGAAGGGTCTGCATTCCTCATTAAATCTTGCACTTCTTCTGGACCCCTCTGATGAAAGTAGCAGATTACTTGTGGCAAGAATACAGCTACATTTGGGAGTTGACTTGGACGAGGTACTGAAAGCGGAAATGATTATTTCGTATTTTTGAATTTAATACAGTATCTAGTAGTTCATGTGAATATTGTATCGCCTAGACAGGCTCAAACAGACTGTAATATATTGAACTTAGTTTGAGTAAATCCCTTTTCAAGAAGACATGACCAACAGAAATCCAGTTTTTCTTCCCGTATTTTTTGGCCAGTACTAGAAAGAGTAGCTTAGGTTTCTGGTGGATATTTTACCCTTACAAGCTCAAAAAAATTACTTGACTCGCCCTTAGCTTCCGAGTGACTTGACTACTAAAGCATTAAGTGTCATGTATTCAGGTTCATATAGGCTGAGTTTTTAGTTAGTCCCTAATCCTGATTATAAACAAAAAGATATATTTTCATAGGCAATTGCCAGCTTGGAGAGTTTTCAAAGGGGCGGAAGTACCACAGCCAGGGATCTGCTTGAACGAGCCAAGCAAAAGAAAGCTGAACAGGATCAAGCAGATGATACTCCACAGCCTGTATGTGTGTATTCCAATACATTTTTTTTCGAGTCATTTTCAGTTTGCCTCTCCAGATTTATGGTAGTCAGTGCGATGAGCGCGCAATATGGGGGTTACCCTGCCTGTGGAGGGAAGGGGTGTGAAAGAAATGCAAATGTCCTTTTCTTGCGTTTCTATCTACCCCCGTGCGTGGCAGCAGCAAAGGGGGAGGGATAGAAAAGAAATTTAAACGACCTGTTCTAATGTTCTCATATTGCCATCTACACCCACTACGCAGGATACCTGGGGCTTATTGATTTGATTTTTGGGACGTCTATCGCTCCTTCTTCGTCTTGGTATAGCTTGGACGTTTTTACACAATGCATACATGAGCTAACCACGAGTCTTCTAGAATTTTGTTCGCTGGTTGCTAATTTCGTAGCTCTGTCACAATCCCGCTTTATGAAAGAGCTCTCTTCAACCGAGTACTGATCGTGTATCTTGCCCGTGAGCCTAGGTCGGTGTTGTGACAAACTTCACAATGGGACTGTTTTAGGGTGGTTATCGCTTCTCATTTGTTTTGTATTTTTGTCTAAGTTTTCATTGATTTTTCATTTTCATTCATTCATTTTCATTTGATTTTTTCTTGTTTTGCTGGAAATTTGCATGTAAGCCGCGCGAGGACTAAGCCTCACGTCGCGGAAGGACTAGTTCCAAGTTAATTTCAAACAGGCGTTGCTAGCGTCAGGATGGCGTAGACATTTTTTAGAGAGACGTTTTTTTCATGCTAGTCACATCGAGAAGTTTTGTAATCCGCCTGATTTAAGTCTTTTGTGAAGCCTTCTTTCAAGAGTGTCATTAAAGATAACGTCGCCATAACATCATTACTGGCTGGTAGTTGCACGTGCGACTGGGTCAAAACTCATCCCTGCACAGTTCCATGGTGCATTTCGATACAACATTGACCCAGTCTCACGCGCAACCTTAATATGGCCAATAATAACAATAGGTAATTTATTACTTTTGCTTAAACGCATACAGCAAGTTTGCGATATCTGTTGTAGGCTACTTGTGCATCTTTTTGTCTTGTCCTCCTTGCCTTTTTATTTCAGAAGTTGAGGTCTGATCCAAGACATTCCGAAGTTGGTTTTAAAGTTGGAATGGTTATGAGGCACAAGTTGTAAGTATGAAGGCTCGTTTTTGAAGGCGATCACACATTTTTATCAAGTGTAAAGTACCGAGTGACTTCACAATTACTTAAATACTGACTAGTTCAACTACGTTAGTATTGAGTAATGCTTAATGTTTTGGATTTTTATTTGCCATTCTACAGTAAAACTACTATGTGCGACCACCTCGCGTAAGCCAATCTACCTTAAGCACCTCTCCAAAACACAAACATTTTGCCAGTCAAAGCCCTTAGTAGTTACATACAATGCCTTGTATGCTGTTTATTCAGGTACAATTATGGCTGTGTCATATACGGTTGGGATCCTGTTTGTAAAATGGACGAGTTATGGATTCGACAAATGGGTGTAGATAACTCTCCTGGTGGTCGGAACCAGCCATTTTACAATGTGCTTGGGGATGATGGCTCCCGAAGATATGCAGCACATAGTAAGTCATTTGCTTTATTCGCCACTTTAGGAACGAAAAGGAAACTGAGTAGAGTTAACTTTCGCAAAGACTTCTGGGACTGTTACGAAGGATTGGTCCACAACTGATTGGCGCATCCCCATGACAATCCCAGAAATCTTTGCGAAAGCTAACTCGGATCAGTTTTCTTCTCTTTTGTAAACAAACGAAAGACTGCCCCCCGTTCTTCAGATAACAGCCAAATTGACCTAAGACTAATCTTCTCATAGTTCCCAAAGTATTCACGAGCTTTTAAAACACTGACCGAACTTACGAGTCTTCTTTGTAATTAAAATGAGTAGTGAGTGATGAGCCTTCTCCTCTGTTAGTAACGCCTGCTTACATATGTTGCGAGAACGACTTTGTGTATTAGTTCGATACATGTGCTAGTGAAATAAATTTTATCAGTTCATCTTTCCGTCGCTCCCCGCACAGGAAGAAATTTTCTCGCTTTGATCGAATGTCCTTTTGTCGTACAGAAATTCCCCTATGCATGTTCTTTAGACAGGGGAACAATGCTCGCACCAGGCTTAAGCGTGGAGATTAATATCCTTTAAAGTTTTTCTTTGTAACTTTTACGAAAATGTTTTGTTGTAAAGAACATTTGTTGCGAAGGAGCATTGCACTCGCGATTTTGTTAGCAATTTTTCTCGCGACAGTGCGGCATTGAAGGTTGAACAGAAAAGACTGTTCCACGTAGCAGCACCTTAAATGCCATTCATTTCTTCGCTTGCAGCGAACTTGAGAGAAGACCCCCAGCAGCCGTTTAATCCACATCCAGAACTGGGAAAGTACTTCAAAGGTTTTACAGGGACACGGTACATACCCAATGAAAGCCTTCAGCAAGAATACCCCGAGGATGTGTTCAATGAGGAGGATCCACAAATATGTTAAAAGGAGGGAATAATCATATTTACCTTTCTTACTATTATGTATAGTCACTGAACTCTCTTTTAGCAGACAGCTAGATTTGATCTCTGTCATTCTTTAGACACTTTTTAACCTATATAATAGGTGGACACTCTCTGCAATGGACATTGAGTAAGGTAACCTATCAAGTCGCCCGAAAGTCGTCTCGGCCGAAGTTATATCGTCCGAAATTTTAATAAAGAGTGTATGTAATATATCTCGTTCTTTTAGCCTTGATGAAACGAAACAAGCACGTCAAATGAGTAATATATCGTGTCCTTAAAGATTTGATGAAACGAAACAAGCGCGATGAAGATGTTAGGATGTTGTTAAGCAGGATAAATTTTCGGGCGAATTGACTGTATACTTTGAGTACCTATCTACACGGGTCGCTCTTGATTTTGGATTTTCTGTTGTGACTTCTTTAGAAACATACGTAAAAGACAGCTTTGTACAATAATGTAAAATCATATTGACCGTATTGTAAAAGCGTGAGATGTAGAAAGTGATGAGTAGTACAGTGAAACGTCCCATTCTTATGCCAAAAGAATAAGAAGCAATTTTTTGTAAATAAGATCACGTTTTACTCACAGGAAGTTTACTACTTTGAAAATTGAATAAATTGCATGAAAAGAGTTTTTTTCAACACTCTGTGCATTCAGTTTACTTGTTTAACTAAGGCCACGGGCGGATTAAAGGGTGGGCCGAGGCGGGCCCGATCACCCCCGGCCTTTTTCTTTGATATAGCTGACAAGTGAGCAAGTGTCCCGGCCACCCCTTTCCGAATTTTCTGGATCCGCCCCTGAAGGCAACTGGAGAGCGAGCGAGCTGCGATCTCTCAATATGAGCGCCAGGGTCGGTGTCTTGTTTATATCTTACAAGCTTATTTTAGTGTGTTGTACAATCAGCCTTGCAATCACACTTAGGTTATGTTTGTTAATGAGATCTCTCCCGGTTGTGGATCCACATTACGCAGCTTATTTGTTTGCTGTCCTCTACAGTTACCGTTGGTACCTCTACATAAGACCTGACCTGCGTGGCTGGTTTTGGAAAGAAAGGGGAAAGGAGAAATTAAGGAGTACAAAAACATAAAGGTCGCGCAAGGGAGGAGAGAACTTTCTTTGATTCTCGCGTGCCTTTATTCCCGATGTCCCCTCACTTTCAAAATCCTCGTTCTACACAAGCTACAGAGGATCTGAAACTAACATTTAAGTGCTATTTAAACTTGAGGCGTTTTCAATAGAGCCTGTGCCAACGGGCTCTCAGCTCCGTTTCTCCCCAGCCCCCACAAGGTTTTCGCGCAAGTTTTCTCGATCTGCTTCAGCTTCCAACAATCTTGAAGCCTGGAATAAGCTACCCAAAGTTACTTCGGTGAGGCGAGCGGAAGAGGCTAAGAAAGTAAAAGCATTTTAAAATCTTAACCCTTTTTTCTCTCAAGGTAAACGCTACTCGAAGCCTGTTTTTCATCTTTTTCAATCAAATCGGAAGAAGCCCGCTGACGCCACTCCTCCCATGAGCCATCATACACTATGGTGTCCGTCTTTCCACAAAGATGTGAAGCGAAGGCTACCACACATGCTGTGATCCCAGATCCACAGGATACAATGAGGGGTTTGTCAAGATCAATTCCTGCGTCTTGGAACAATTTCTTTAACTCGTCAGGAGTTTTCATGAGTTTTGTTTCAGGATTCAGACACTTGGTGTAAGGAAAGTTAATAGCATGTGGGATATGACCCGATGGAAGATTTGGGTGTGGCTCTGTTTCAGAACCGTGGAACAGTTCGGGGGACCTTGCATCAGCTACTTGGTAGGTTTGCTGTGATATATTGGCTTTCACGAAATCAAAGTTACAGAGGGTGTCGGTATTCAAGATGGCTCGGTATGACTCATCACCTGTAAAAAAAAGTGCCGGCAAAACCGGTCAGGCAAGCTATAATTCAACTACATTTTTTTACTCATTTAGGCCACGCTTATTAAATCTTTCGTTTTTATCACCAACTTTTTTGAAAAATTTGGTCCGAAAAGAAGTGGTTAGTTATAACTAAGAGCAGGACTCCATTCCCAGTGTGGATCCTGGGGGATGTTCCGGGCAATCCACCTTCCCCCCAAATTTTTTAAAATGAATTTTATGAGTTCTTGGACACTTAACCTTAAATTGTTAACATAAAGGAGCACATACAGCACTCATCTTGAGGCTTTACAATGAATCTTGCAAAGTACTTTTGCCTCTTAGTGGCGTTATTCAGTATTGGGAGCTACAACGCCGTTTACAGGAAAATAATGACCTAAGACAGCGAGAAAAGGTGGGAAACCGGGAATGATTACCTAGGGAAAACATTTTAAGACGGTGTCCACCAGGAATCCACCACGCTGTGTACGCGGGTGTCTGGTCACACGTTTGCGTTGGATCTGAAAATAGGGTAGAGGAAATCACATATTTTGGTCCCCTAGTAGCATGCCGCATCGTCCAAATTTACGGGGAATACAACCCCATCCCCCTCATAGGCGGTTTTGCGCAAGCCGAACGGCAAAAAGTACATCCGTCACGGATTATGTTAGTCTGCTACACGGCCATTTTTAGGGTCGTCACGCGTGGAGGAGCGTTGCGTGACGGCACAAAAACGGCTGTGTAGCAGACTAGGATGATCTAGCCTGAACACAGACGTTGTTTTATTTATTTTAATTTTTTTTTTCGTTCTTTTCAAAAACATCGGCGAGCTCGCGAACAAAGCAAGCGCGCGAGAAAAAAAGAGAACTTCTTCCCCTACAACTACCGCCTTGTGCTGGCGGTCAATAAATCCGCTGCGGTTTAGATTTTATCACCCGAGCTCGACGGACTTTGAAGATAATATAGAGGGTCTGTGAACAGGCTAAGGATGATCTCAATGTCAGGCTAAGATTTACTAAGTACCTTGGACCGCTGCTGTGTTTTTTTCTGGGCCCGATTCGATTGGAAAACCTTCCGCGCACCAGCGAGGAAACCCACCGTCCAAAACTGACACCGAATGATGACCAAATGCACGAAACATCCACCAGGCTCGAGGCGCGGAGTAAAGACCAACTTTATCGTTGTTATCGTAGATAACAACGTAACTATCATTGCGGATACCAAGATTTCGTTTGCAGTCTGCGAATTCTTCGGCATTTGGCAGCCTATGCGCGTAGGGTGAGGACTTATCTGCACATTCATTAACGTCGAAAAACTTGGCCCCTGGAATGCGATGGGCGAGAAACTCTTGTCTTGCATCGCGATTTTCTTTTGAGAGTTGCAAAGACGCGTCTAAAATTCGGAGATGTTTTGGGCTTTGGAGCATCAGCTGACGGAGCCAATGGGCCTTAACCAAGGCCGACACGGACGACATGATCAGGAGAAAGTGAGACAAACTGTCTAAACTTTAAAAAGTGTGCGCGCTGCGGTTTTCTTCGAAAAGAATAGCACACGAAGACGTCGACGGGAAATTATGATGAAAAACCGTGTAAAGCTGCACGTTTATGTCATTATTGGGGGGAAGACAATACCTTTGAGTTTCACATGCAATTTTCGTGCAAGATTTCACATCCTAACAACTCTCAAAAGAGTATTGGCCATTTCTTGTTGGAAGAAAAGGACTGGTGACCAGTAGCATTAACAAGACGTGGATCGGGTCGCTGGCCTGGATCTTCGGATTCGAATACGGATCAGTTATGTCAGTTTATGTGTTGAAACAAAAAAAGTACAAACTTTTGTAATAGGAGGTTACTGGATTTTAAATGAAACTGCAGGCTATTGTTTCAATGACCAAATTTTAACAAAAATGGCATTCAAAATATTCAGTGGATATAATATCTATACAGGAGCTGCCTGATGTCAAGTATTCCTCGCTAAATGAGGGATTGTCTATATCAATCTCTAAAACCAAAAAAGGCGTTTTCTATTACTTTTTAATCATAATTTGTTGTACATAGCTACAAACTATCAATAAAGTGCTGGTAAATAAATATAAAGACTAAAGATTGTTGACTTTTAATTACCAATGAGATCTGCCTCCACCTCCCCCCTTATTGTTATATTACAAAACAATGAATGGCCGTAAGTATTCAGCTCTTTTCAATCATATCAGTAGCACGCTGACACCACTCCACCCATGAGCCATCAAAGACCATGGTGTCTCTCTTTCCACAAAGATATGATGCCAAAGCCACCACACATGAAGTGATCCCAGATCCACAGGAAGTAATGAGAGGCTTTTTGAGATCAATTCCTGCATCTTCAAACACTTTCTTCAACTCCTCAGGTGTTTTCATGAGTTTTGTATCAGGATCCAGACACTGGGAATATGGAACACTCCTTGATCCTGGAATGTGACCAGATGGAAAATTTGGGCGTGGCTCTGGTTCAGTACCATGGAATCTGCCAGAAGACCGAGCATCAGCAACATAGCATGTTGCTTGTGATATATTGGCTTTCACAAAGTCAAAATCACAAAACATGCCTGTGTTTAGAGTACCTTTGAATGGCCCACCATCTATTTAAAAACATCAAACAAATAAGAGCAAGAAAATAAAAGAGCTGTCAGCATTTTCACACAGATTACAATAAACAAATTAGAAGAATTATGGAGCTGGTTAGTTATTCATTAGCATATATGCCAACTCTTTTGTGTGCTTTAGTTTAGAATTTAACTTTTTTCCCCCACATTATGTCCTGAGCCAGAACCATTTCAAAACTTAGGAGCTGGGATGATAAGTGATTATAAGGGGGTGGGGGTTGTTGCTATGGGGGTACTAAAACAGACAGACACAGCCTCGTTCCCAGGGTTCTCTGCTACCCATCCCTAGAGAGAGAACCTGGGAACAAGGTGGCAGAAAGACAGACAGACAGACTGACAGACAGTCTCCAGACTTAGGATCTCCAGAGGTTGGTATTTCTGGATCTTTGGATCAAGAGAGTTGGAAATCTGGTTATAAAATTCACACCAGACACCCTTTTTTTAAACTCACTTCTCAGTGACTGGATATGGGATGAAACACTGTCTTGTGTTAGATCAGGAGCCCACGGACTATTGGTTCGATATATTAAAAGTCAATGCTTTGATCACAATATGACAACACAGATTGGCAATTAATTGGTACCAAACAACCTAAAATGTGCTTACTTTTCTGGAACACTGCATGAGAACTGATTTATTGTCCAGAACAATAAGAACCACTAACATTCTTGCGTGTGTGCGATTGCCAATTCAGTGGGCTATTTCCATTCTTCTTAGACACGTAACAGTGTTATTGAAGCTATAGGTGGTTTTCATGCAATCTCGGGAGACACAAATAACAATGGTGAAATGAACAAATGCTGGTGGACAAACAAAGCAAGCTAATGAGCGATCTTTTGTTTACCGTCCACCAGCATGGCGGCGATGACGTAACGTGAAAACCACCTATAGCAGTACACATTGCATAAGAATTTAACTTTCCTCATGCCCCCCTCCCCCTCCCCTGACCCCATCACTCTCCTACAGTCCTAGTTAATATGCATGCCGAAAATATACCTTCAACTTTGGTTTTGCTGTCTGGGCCTGTTTCGATTGGGTAACCCTCAGCATGCCACTTCGGAAAACCGCCGTCCAAAATCGATACCCGTTCGTGCCCAAATGCACGCATCATCCACCACAATCGAGGAGATGAGAATAGGCCACTTTTCTCATTATTATCATACACAATAACGTAGCTATCATTATCAATTCCAAGACTTTGAACATAGTTCGAGAAATCTTCAGCATTTGGTAACATGTGCTCGTAGTGTGAAGTTTTGTCTATACATTCATCTAAGTCGAAGAACTTGGCCCCTGGAATTCGATGAGTCAAAAATTCCTTTCTGGGATCTCGATTTTCTTTCGGGAGGTGCCACGACGCATCCACGATTCGCAGATACTTTGGGCTTTGAAGCATCAACTGGCGAAGCCACTGAGCTGAAATTAGCGTTGAGACAGCCATCTGGCCGGTGTAATGGGAGTGTGTTTTTCCTTGTCTAGTGTCTAGTGGCGAAAATCCTCTAGGCGTTCCCTGCGAATGTTAACAGAAAGAAACGACTGGTGACTAGTACCAAGTCTCCTCTCGGTTTAAACGTGTCAATATGGCCGCCCAAGAGAAGGTAAAGATTCTTGTCGTTGGTGATTCGGGCGTCGGAAAGACCTCTTTAGTTCATCATATTTGTCACAATGAAAGCATTCCGAATCCAGGATGGACTATAGGTTGTACTGTAGAGGTTAAACTATACGACTATAGGGAAGGTACTCCAGGCATGAAAAGTTTTTTCTTGGAGTTTTGGGACGTTGGAGGGTCAGCAAGTCATGAAAACAGCCGGGCAATATTTTACAATGGCGTCAATGGATTGATCCTTGTTCACGACCTTACAAATAAGAAGTCATTCTCAAACCTCAGGCGATGGCTAACAGAGGTACTAGGCTCAGGAAAGGAAGGCAGCGGTGTGTTAAATTCAAGGCAGCCAAAATCTCCCGCTTCTAATGGAAACAAAGACAGATGGTTTGAATTTTCCATTGATATGGGGGATGAGTACGATCGTGAACAGTTTGCAGGGAATCAGATTCCTGTTATTATTATTGGAACTAAGCTGGATCAAGCAGGGACTGCAAGAATTCTTACATCATCAAGAGGATTCAATCTGGCTGAAGAAATTGGAGCTGATATGATAAACATCAACTGTACTGACACTAAACAGCTTAAGCCAGGATCTGCTAATGCAAGAAAGTTGTATTCTTTCTTTGATAAAGTGATAGAGAGGCGGTTTTATTCTCGTGAGATGCCGCAGTTTCAGCAATCATATGACAGGGCAGAGTCGTTAAAGATCTATGACCGCTCTAGTAAACGCAAAATGGTTTGAACATACATGTATGACCTAGGGTACTAACCATTTACAGGGCAAATACAGAAGTGCTGGTTGGAAAATCAAATGGTTATTGCACAATTCCATTTGGGGAGCCTCAGAAAACATGGGCTGTGATTAGACGGGATGCAATTTTTCTTCTCTTTTTAGTCTGTTCAGCTTGTTGGATATACATTATAGCGGGTCATTCTCCCACCACATCAAATTTTGTAGTTTTATGTTTTTGACACAAGATATCCACCCTGGTGGTTTGTGTAAATATTTAACTACCCTATTCTCTATTTTGGAAACCCCCCATAATACACTCTGTTTGCCATCCACAGAGTGCATATGGGGGATTTGAAAATATTCAAATTATACCAGTTTATAGCAAGGGTGTTAAATAAAATTAAAATCAGCAATTATTACATCTATCTTGGTATACAACTCAGTAGTGAACATGTCAAGTCTTGAACAGCTCAAGAGATGGAGAGCCTGCCTGGTATTTTGGAGGTCATGGGCTAGAATTCTCATGGTGACCTAAGATGTGACAGGGTTTGTATGGGTCATGGAAAATCTGGGAAGTCATGGATTTCAAGAATTTCATTTTCCAAGCCTGGAAAGTCATGAAAGTTAATTTGTCGGTCCTTGAAAGTCATGGAAAATTTTAGTTTTGTTTCGTAGATTAGTTACTGCAGATGATAAAGCAAGAAAAATGTAAGATAGAGAGGTGATTGAACAGTGCAAATGGCACACATTTAGGTGGACACCAGAGTTGGTGTCTGTTGAACTGTTTAAGGTCAAAAATACCCTAAAACACAAAAGCTTAAAAAATTTGTAAAAGTAATGGCTAAACCTAAGGTCATGGAAAACTTAAAAAGGTCATGGAAAAAGTCAAGGAAAGTCCTGGAATTTGAAGAGTACGAAAAGAGTACGAACCCTGTGTGATCGCTGATCCACATTACTACATCTCTCTTACTATGTTTCAGTTATGGGATGCAGCATTTTTGCATGTGTATATTAGTTGATGCTTTATTGCGCAGTAGCATAGGATATTTTTCACCCTCATGCTCTATTATGACGAGCCCAAAGGATGAGTTAAAATACTAGGCAGTTGTAATAACATCCCACAATACTACACACTCAGTCATTATATACGACTTTCCCCTGTGCTATTCATCGAAGGGTGTTTTTGAGTGACCGTATTCTTGTAGGAATAATCCAGATATTGCATTAACAATCAACATTCTGGACAAGAGGGTATTGTTTTGTTTTTGGTTAGAAGAAATTTTAGAGGAAAACTTAATGCTGGGAATTGGTCAATCCCATATAGACAGTCTTTTGCCTTCTGTTTGGAGAATATCATTAAAAAAGCAGAAGAATGCTGTTTACACTGAAGTTTGGCTGACTGAGGAATGTAGGAATAGCTTTCTCATTTTCCCCACTTAAGAAAGTGTGCCAAAGAGTTTCCTCTTTGCTTCAGCAGATCTTTTGATGCAGAGTAAGTGGTCTTCCTCGTCTAGATTCTGTTTTTTGGCACTTACTTTAAACCCTGGGTAGAAAGTGTATCTCATGAAGTCCCAATGTAAAAAATAATGCAGCATGTATTGCTTTCTTGTTATGTCACAGGGTATAATAATATTAAACATTCTATTGATTTACAGTGTTTCAGTCATTTATTTGTGATGAGGATAATAATCAGAGACCATGGTGATTATGATGGTAAAATGATTGATCTTGGTAATGGCATTACATGTATTAGTGATGTTGATCATTGATGATGATGATGACGACAATGGTAATGATTGATAATTACATTAATAATCATTCTTATGATTATTGATGATGATATTTGTCACAACAACGATGATGATGATTACAATAATAAAGACTTAGGGTGGGATACACTGGAAATGAGAAGAAGACAGTTTAGGTTAACACTTATGTATAAACTAACTCATGGTCTTATTGATATAGATAGCTGAAAGTATTTAATTCAACACTCTGAGAGTCGCACGAGGGGAAGCCATCAATTTAAATTTTGCGAGTCATATCCAAATGAGGATATTTTTAAATTTTCGTATTTTCTGAGAACTATAGCTGACTGGACCTGCCTCCCTGAGGCCATTGTATCATCAAGTTCTTTAGAGTCTTTTAAATCAAATTTATCAGCTTTTCTTAAGTAAAAGTTATATACTTATCTTCATTTAATTTTATATCATTATTTATATTATTAATGGTTGGTGTGATGTCTTACCGATTTTTACCAACTTAATATATGTAAAAAAATTTAAAAAGCACAATGTTACTCAGACAGTTCATTTATCCGTGCTTGTTTCTTTGAAATATTATTTTTTTCTATAGCAACAGATTTTTGTCTTTTTACTCAGGAATGTCAGTTTCAGGAGAAAAAATGGGCAATATTTTGGTGGACCAATATATTTGGAGAAAAGGCCCAAAAGGTGGGAAAAAGCGGGTATTAAGCAGTAAGCTGGATGTACAAAGCATGTAAGTTTTGTTGTAAGGGGCAGGGGGAGTACCTCTAGAAAAATCCTGGCTACGCCCCTGAGTTAATGTCAGTAATCACAAGGAATAAGAACTTTTTAATCTTCAGCTTTCTTACAATAGCCTATTTTTCTAGAAATTTCAAAATCATGGCAAACAAACCAATAAAACTATTGTTAACTGATGATCTCAATTTGGCAAATGCCAATGCTTTGCGTTGGCTTTGGAACACTTTGATACATAATACACTTCTCTATGTCCTGAAAAGAGCTGAAGTTGTCCCCTGTTGTTCTAATGATAATATTAGTTATCTTTGTTTGTTTCTTTTGTGTGTATGTGTTACAATGCAAGCAAAGTGAGCTACCACTCCTTTTTAAAAAAGAAACACCATGGAATCAGAGCCTCTTCTTTGTTTTACAAAGAAGTCAAGTAAAACAGCACTTAGTAAGATGCAACTCTTTTGCTTTATACCATATACAGTTTATTTTACTGTGCCAATACAGCAGATTATTCATCAGCTGGTGTTGATTTGTGTTCACGTAGTCCACTGCGTTTCTTTACTTTTCTTTTGGCAAACTTCACTTTCTCATGCTGTTCCTCAACAGGTTCTGAAACACCTGCTGAGATATCTGAATCACTATCACCTACTTCCTTCTCCTCCAAGTGACCGAGACTTACGGATTCACCTGACAAGTTCAGCTTTTTATCACCAGAGAGTTTTTTGTATTCTCTTCTAGTTGTCTTTGCAGGAGATAGTCCTATCACGTACTCTTTCATGATATTGACACCTCCCACAAGCTGTGACTGTAAAGGAGCTTCATCAATCTCCATCTTATGCTTGATCGCTGATTTTGAGAACACATGTTTTTCAGTCATTACAACGTCTGATTCCGATTCTGAGTTCATGGATAAGTTTTCTTTTCTTTTACGAATGTCATCCAGAAAGGATAAAGCCACATGTCTGTTTAAGGCTTCCCCAGACATACCGGAACTTTTGTCAGTTCCATCATCCTCGAGACTATATTTGGTCCATTTCTGAGGATGCAAGACATGATCTGGAACGTGTTTTGGTGCTCGGGGGCCATGAGGCTTTGACTCTGTTTCACTTTTTTGCTCGGGTTCAAGGTTGTCTAGAGAACCAAAAATGGAATCACTACGATTTTGGAAATCTAAATCACCGCTTATGCGCAAAAACTCCTCCTTTTTCCCCGTCATTTTGGCAACAGCACTGGTTACAAAAAGAGACAATCTCCGTCAATATTCGGAGTCTTCCGCCATATTAGATGGCTAGGTCCCAAGCCTCCTCGGGTCTTCCTGTCTCGTTGGAAACGGGGCCTCGTTCTGGTGTGTTTCGTTGACAACCAAAATGGCGGACGAACTTAACAAAAAAAGACCAAAATAACACGAAGGAAATGGTCGAGTCTTTTAACGTTACTGCTGCGTTTCATTCGCAGCTTAACACTTTATGCATTAGAGAATTCCCTTGTGGATATGGAAGTTGGGTTAGATAAAACTCTGTCTTTGTACGATAGGTGTAATCGTATTAAGTTTTTAAAAGTTTAATATGTGTTCATCTGAACCAGACTGATCATTTTACATCCATATCTAACACAAAATAACGGGTTTTGTGTTTATTTTAGAGAGCCCCCAATGTGAGCAGTAATTTAAGCTTAAAAAGTACCACAGAAGTAAAAAGTATGGGTACCTTGAAACCTGCCAAGTCGACATCAACTCTACCTGCAATAATTCCAGGTGAGCAAAACAAAATGATACTTTATAATCGTTATTATTATCGGAAATAATATTAATAGTTAATCATAATGATTTGAAATTTAATCAGAATGAACTGCAGTGGAAGAAAACAAAGCAAAAATATGATGTCATTTTACTACTACAACCAGAATCCTTCAGGGGTTTGCATCCTTGTGCAAATTAAGGCTTTTGTTANGATTATATTATTAAAGAAGAAGAAGACAGTATTGAAGATCTTGATGGTGATAATGATAATTATGTGTAAGAGAGTGTTATATGTTTTTTTTATGTTTTTTTTTTTTTTGGTGGTGTGTTTTTTGGGTGTAATGGTTTGGGTTGGTTTTTTTTTTTTTTTTTTTTTGGGGGGGGGGGGGGGTGTGTAGCATGATTTAAGTAGGAATTTCTTGGGGGTATTCAAAACAATCTGAAGATTCATGATAGTTCCCGCATACGCCCAGCCATGTAGTTTTGTGAATAAAGTAAACCAAGAGAGCAAATTTTTATGGCTCAGAAATTCAGCATGGGGTTTTTGGGGGGTTAAATTTTGGTCCAGGGATTTTATTGGGTTTTATTTGAAGCCCAGGGGATTTTTGGGGGTTTTGATTTTTGCCCCTATTCGATCATCCATGTCACTTGAAATCCAGAGAACCCCCCTGGGGCCTCAACACATCAATCTTGAAAGTGAATCGTTTGAAAATCTGCTCGACACTTCATGGTGAAAAGTACTGCACTCTTAAAGATAAAGAAGACTTCAAGATAAACACTCTGAGATTTCAAGATCAGATCAAAATTTCTGGAGACCACTGATTTTTTTTTTACTGCATTCACCACTTCTGTTTTGGTAATAATATTTTTATCTTTCTATATATTTATTCAGTACAGTATTTTGGCTCTAGTGTCAGAGTGCCCATGCAAGCTTGGTTTAAGACAAAAAGTTAAATTTTGCTGTGTTTTGCAGAGAATAGTGCACAGTTAGAGACTGTTGAAAGTCTACAAGCTTTGGCTATAAAGATCCCATATGATGTGGACTGCAGTTGGAGTAGTGAAGCTGCAAGCCTGCGAGAGATTGCTGTGAAGTCACCAGACAAACTCACACAAAATTTTATTCTCAAGTTTTTTAAATCACTCCAAATTGTAGACAAAAAGGTAAACTCCTAAAGAATGAAAGGCTTAGCTTGTTCAGTTTCTAAGTAGTGGTTTTTAGGTTAATATTAGCTGTGGGAAAACCTTTGGCCCTTGGGGTTATATAAGGGGTTAAAAGTGAGAATTCAAAGCTTGTTTTATGAATCTTATGAGTCAATGAGTTCATCCATAAGGCAACTTATAAGTGTGGTTGGGGTTGAAGTTAGAGGTTGGGTTAAAGGTTAGGTTTAGGGTTAGGGTTGGGTGACTCATGACTCAGTGATGCTAAGACTTAAATTCTCATTAAAGACAGGATAAAAAACGGAGGTATGGATCAATATGTGTTGGATTATATAACATAGGAAGTCTGATTTTATATATTCTTCTTGTGTTGATTATTATTTTGGTTTTACACTTTATTTTTAATCAGGTAACAGAAATTGATGATGGACTTCTTCAGCTGAAAAATCTAAAGCAACTGACACTGAGTGCAAATCTAATCAAGCATGTTGACTCCAAGAGACTTCCAAAAGACTTAGAGGTACTGGTACTTAAATGTTAAGCTCAAAAAAATACTTCAGCAATTCTTTTTTGTCTAAGTTGACTAAAAGTATTTGGTTGTTGTTTTACTTGACAGGAACTGGAACTTGCAGCCAATCAAATTTCAGACATCAGTTCACTATGTGTTTGTCCCCCACCTCTCATCCATTTAGGCCTGAGCTACAATCAAATTTCTTCCGTCACAGGCCGCATGAAGGCAAGTTCATGGTAAGTCATACTTTCAAGTTCATGCTGACTCAATCAAATATTCAAGGAATCTCAAAAAAAGAAATGGCATTAAAAATCTGCCCTTTTTCACAAAAGAAAAAAAATTATTTCACTAAATTATTCATGCTTATGATAAGCAAAAGGTAAAACCATTTAATAATCCTATAATTTCCTCCTTTTCTTTTTCAGGCCTCATTTACTATCATTAGACTTAAGCTTCAACAACCTTGCAGATCTCTACAGCACTATTAGTGTACTGAAAACTTTACCAAAACTAAAGAATCTTGTCCTTCAAGGAAATCCTTTGGCAGTAAGTCATCAGAGTTATTTTAGGTTTATGTAAAAAAAACTGTTGACCGCATACCCCCTTGTCAACTGATAATTATTCAACACCTGAGCACATGTAAATGTCTGCATGCATAACAAAACCTAATTTAGTAGTCTATGGTCAAATTAGATTCCTTTTTATTTGTGGATTAATATTGCCCCTAAAGTATCTTTTTTATCCAGCTGGTACCAGGCTACCGTGGTTACACAATCGACTCTATTCGTCAGTTAACCATTCTTGATGACATCAGAATTTCAGCAGATGAGAAACACTTCTTTAAAGGACTTTCAAAACTCAAAGGTATTTGATTGTTACCAAGCGTACTGTTAAGTCTATCATTATGATAACTAGAAGTGAGTGTACAACATAATTATTAGAATTAATTAATTAATTATCGCCCTGTCAATAAGAACCATGAGGGATGGATTTTGTTTGTTGGTGAAAGTGCTGATCTTTACGACTTTTTTGATGATTTCTCTTAGATGTTCCAGTAAATGAAGCCCAGGTCATCATATATATCAAGAGTATTAAGGGAGTTAAAATGCCAGAAGAGATTGAGGTCAGTATATTACACAATGTGTTTATGTTTATATTATTTTATTTTTGCTGAGGGGTTTGCAATTATTCAAGTGAGCACATAAAAAAACTGAATTTACTCAGCTGACCATTGTTGCCCCATCATTATCCCATCTGGAAGATTGATGTAACATTAAGTTTCAAAGGAATCAGTGTGCTGTTTTGGTGGCAAGTAAAGTACTCAAATTAAATCAATCAATTTAGAGTGGCCATTTGACTCTATCAATTTGGTTGATAATTCTTTCAACCAAATGGCCACAGTAAATTGATTTAAAGGCTGATGTTTCAAGCACAAGCTCTCCATCAGAGTGAGTTGTCTTTCTGTACAAAACTTTGCTTCAGGTTGTCTGTTCATAGTATTAATACTATTAGGTTTTTCATGCTACATTGTCCATGATGGACATGGCTTTGGTGAGTAGGCCTCATACTGTACTTCTTTCTTCAGGCAGAAGTTATTACCCTTAAATAAATATATTGTCCTGTAAAAATTTTGAGCTCAAGTACTGCCAGTCAAGTAGCTATGGCATAAATAATACTTTGACACAAGGAACAACTCATATCATAAGCAAACAAATGAAAATGTGATGCTGGGGGGTAAAGGTGAAAAACTTGGAGTACACCATATAATTATTGCTCACCTTTGGTAAACACATTTCTTGTAATTATAGAGTTAACTTGATGTACTCTTATTGCACAGGATCCAGAGATAAACTCTGATTTCCCCAAGACTGAGCACAAGTACCATGTGGAGTTCCAGTTCCTCAGGGCGACACCCACTGTAATATTGTGTGAGTCTCCCGCTCTGTCAATACCGACTATCTCTTTTGTACCAGATGACTGCAGCAGCATTGCTCAAGAGGAAAACACTGACAATAGTCAGAGCAGTGACAATTCAGGTCAGTTGCTTTAGTCCAATGTTAATTAGAAAACAATACCCAGGAATTTAGCCAGCTAGCCAAACAAGGTGGCACTTAAAATATAGTGAGACCAAAACAGCGAAGTCCAGGTGCTAGGCGGTGGTTAAATTTAAAGAGACATTGTCAATGACTATGTCACCACTTTTCAGTGTCTTGTCTGCTAGTGACATTCCGGAGTACTTCTGGTCAACGCCTAAAAGAAAAGGGGAAGAAAACTTCCCCCATGGTGCTTGATCTTTCATACAACTTTCAAGATCTCAAAAGTCTTCCAGATCAATATCCCTCAGGAGTGTGTTAACATATGTAGTTAAAGGACATCCTGAGTAGCAGCATCAATATGGTGCAAAAGCTGGCTAGTTATAAAATGAATAGTAAAAAAATAATTATCAGGGGCTGATTAGCTTAAAATTATTTAACACTATGGTATAAGCATAACATTGTGTTCCTCCCACTCTTTGGGCTTCCTACTTTTCCCTGGCTTCCCCTTCTTTTAAACTCAAAGGTAGTGATAGTGACTGCAGAAAGTTTGCTATATATATTTACATGATTTAGGTAGCTGCTGGAAATACCCTGTACCCCAAATCTCTTTTAACAGATCATAGGCAAGCCTTAATCACTACTCATAATGGGAACCTGTCATATACAATGAACATACTGTACATACTTCCTCAATAAACTATAAATTGTTACATGTACGATCAGTTATAATATTACTATTTGCATTAGTAGAAAAGAGTAGCATCATATTGACAAAACATTAATGCTGTCTAAAGACAATACATTTACATTGGTGTATGTATAGCATCACTATAAAATGAAACACTTTATCTGTGGTTAAGTTAAAAGTGACTTTTAATAAAAGTGGTGTTAAAAGGAATTAAATCGTTATTTATAAAAGTGATGTTATCATTCTTTACAGGAAATTTTCAAACAGTATCAACAGGAAGTTTGCCATGGTCTGAAGATGGAATAGAGCTTGACTATAGCAAGAAATTTCACACATCTCTGCTGGTTCCACTGCGAGATTTCATTCAAGATGGTATAAATTTTACCGTGATAAAGACAAAACACATGTATGTGCTAGAGGACCCGAATGCTGCACAGAATACTGAAAGCAAGCCTCCAGCATCAGCAAAAAGTAGTAAGTCACTTCTAAAATTGTCACCGATATTTTTACTGGTTCAATAAATTCTATTATGTGCAAGATGCACACACATTATGTAACAAATCAAGAGAATTAATTCAAGACTATAATTTACATGGGTGTTTTTAAGGGTGGGCCGAGGGGACTGTGGTCCGCCCTCTTCTGTGAAAATTTTGCATTATTTTTAAAGAATTCACAGTAAAAATAGTTTCTAGTATAAGGGAGGCAAGTGCTCCCCCTTCTGAATTTTCCATACACACCCCTAATTTATAAGAGATGAACTACCTTGGTTATGTTTAAATAAAAATGATACATTTTGGTTATACTTTTTGGATTATCAGCGTTTACACCATGCATAAAATGACACAACATTTATTTAAGGATGGAAACAAGGTGGTTCAAAATACAACATAGTTTTTTTTTCTGGAACAGGATAGGGTTTCTGTGTTTTTCTTTGTTTTGCAGTACAGGTGGGGGTTTAATGACCTAGACACACTCATCAATCTTGCTGAACCATAGGCCTCTGGCCTTGATGCAGAATAACTTAGCTGATTTTCTTGTCTCAGTAAACAGTTGATGGGAGCCATGCTTGAAATATTAAAATTTTATTTATTTATTTTTTATCTACTAAGGTCGACCGGGAAGCAAATCACAGAAAAGCCCAACAAAGGAGAAACGTAAAGACTCAGGCAAAGCAAAGGAAAAGGTTTGTAAAACAGAGTTTTCCTCAGTTGAATTTCACATTTACTGAAGGTAACCATGGCAGTAATAAAAATATTATAAAAATTTGTTATAATTCTTAAATCTTTCACTTATGCAAGGGAAAGGATGCTAAAGGCAAGAAAAACAAACAAGAAGACATTGAGTTGTTTGAGCTTCCACGAACAAGATCAACTTTGGGGTCATGTCAAGTCCCTATTGCTTCACTGCTGGAGGGAGAGCCTGCAGTGGAGGCAGAATGTGTGTGCTTAAGTGAAGAGGAGACTGGGGAGAGTGACAGGAAAGAAGGGGGACCTGGTGCCAAGTCAGATGCTAGTGACAAAAAGAAGCAAAACAAAGGTCAGTGATGATCATTGTGCTAGCCAGTTGTAAAACGAGCAAGTCTAGAGCTATTTATTGCACGACAAATTCTCTCTCAGGTCCGTTGATAGTCTCATTTAGGTCAGGCACTTTTGAGCGTGGGGTGGGGGTCTTGCTGCACTAAATATAGCAGATTTGGAGGGGGGTGAGCTTTAAAAAGACACAAGAGGCTACCTTATTTTAATAAAACAGCATAATATATTATATAATATTAAGTGAACCATATTGTCATCTAAAAGTGTTACCCTTGTCAATAAAAATAGAATAATTTGTTACAAGAAAAAAGGTAAAAGTGCTTGTTCCCGTATACAAAGGATCGAGTGAACTTTATCTGAGTTATTGCTTGACTAATATGAAATCAAAAATTGTCCATTGGTAATACTACCATTCCTGCTTTTGGTTTTGAATGACAGCGGAAGGGTAGCTAAAAAGTGAGAAAGGCTCCAATCCTGCCCCACTACCCATTTTTAACCGAAATCAAAATTTTTATGCATTTTCAAACAAAACACAAAATGGGGTTTTACCTAGTAAATGTGCAGATGTTTAAGCAAGCTGACTTAAAACTGTAGAATTGTACCCAATGATAGCTAAAAAAGCTCAAAAAATGGAAAATCCTAAGGTTACTCTGGACTGTTCATTACTGTTTCTTTTTCGGCAGATGATAAGGCTTCTAAAGGCAACCTGCGAGCCGCGACACCAGGCAAAGGCAAAGGTGGGCGAGGAAAGTCGTCACACAAAGATGACAAGAAAGGCAAGGAAAAAGACAAGCATGAAGAGAGTATTGATGATGAGGAGGATATAGCTCCTGCTCCTCCCCTGACAATACAAGTGCAAGTTAAACTTCATTACTGGAAGTCTGCAAGAGAGGCTGCACAAGAATTTCTGCCACAAGGGGTTCCCTCACATACTGGGGCACACAACTAAATGGACGTCAACACTGTCTTATAAGAGCTGTATTGAACATTGTGTCTGAGGTGTTCTGTATAGTCTGAAAATGGCATGCTATTGTTTAGCTTTGATGTTTAGTAGTAAGTTAATAGGTATACATTCATACATAGAATTCCTACAACTGTTGATGGTTAAGTTTGAGATCATGAGTAAATCGCAGCATTTTTGACTCAAACCTATTGAGAAACTGTATCAGTTTTCATTAACAGTAGATATGTATATAGGGTATACTATTGAGTCAAAAGTGAAGAAAATGTACATTATATCAAAAAAATATGTTCATGCTTATTTTGGGACAACTTTACTACAACACATATTAGGTGCATTATAATACATGTATTAGGTAATAACAACATCCTGTCTCTTTTTAATTTTTCATGTACATTTAAAACAAGTATGTTACAATACAACAGTCACTTACATGTACATGTATAAAGCTAAAGTAAATTAAGAAAGTATTACCATGTGCATTCTTTAAGTTAACGGCATATTAATACTGCTTGTCTACAAAGAGAAGGCACCAGCCCACAGGTATACATGTGCATTTGCTAACTTTGACAAACTCTGTACATTATTTTGACCAACAGACTGTGATTTACAGTGTAGGGTTGTTACAAAAAGCCCCAAGTTGATCCACAAGCTAAGCTGTGAGATCCTCCTTTCAAATTTGCCGCTGAAAACCAAATTTCAAATTACCCTAAATGACCTAATAAATGCCCACTTCCAAATAAATCCCTCTTATCTAATAAACGCCCCCCTCCATGCTGTTAAAATTGTATAAGATGCCCAGCCCCTCTCTGGCAAAAACGAGCAAAGTCATTCAATTCATTCAGTTTTTTGTTTTATTTCATCTTGTTCAATGTCAAGTTCAAAGTACGGATAGACTAACGATGGTAACACAATAACCCTGAGCAAGGATTCTGACATTGATGTTGAGAATTGAAAAAGCAATATGGATCTCTAGATGGCTTAGACATATCAATTGATGGAGTGAATATTCCACTATTTTTAAACTCTTGTGATATTTTTGCTAAAAGCATACTGGGTTTTAGTTGAGCTTCTGAGAGTTAAGAGAATAAACACCATTTATCTATTAACAGCCCCCGCTTGGACCCCTTAAATTAAATAGATGTCCTAGTTATTTATTGGGTCATTTAAGGTACATCAACAAACCCTTTCACTTTTTATTGATTAGGCAGCTCAGTTCTCTTCCACCTGCAACCACTCTGCTTGGTAAATCATTCCATTTCCCAAACCAAAGAGGTGGTAAAATTGAACATTTCAACTATGCTAAAAAAAGTTTAAATACTACCTTTCATGAAATTGGAGAAATAATCAATTAAATAAAAGCCAAGATTAAGATGTCATTGGCCATATTCTTTCAAAAGTTTTCCAGCTATCACTATTCTTTGTACTTCACTTGTTCCTTCATAAATTTCTGTGATCCGTGCATCTCTGTAGTATCGTTCTGCTGGCATATCTGTCACAAAACCCATACCTCCAAGGACTTGAATGCACTAAAGACAGTCAAAAAATGGTACCCTTTTAGAAAGGCTACATTCTCAAAGATCGGAAAGGGCTTTATATGGGCCACTAAATTGGTGGTCCTATTAGTTAAAGTGGACAGCCTGTGCAACCTGGCAGAGTGAGATGTAAACCCTTTTACCACCAGAGTCAATGATATTATAAAAATAGATGTACCTGATGTGAAATGTAGGTGGCAGCCTCAGATGCTGCTAGCTTTGCCATGGCCGCCTCCTACAAGAAAGGGGAAAAAAGACACACCTATGGTCACACCTTTTTGCAAAAACTTAACTGGACACTTTTAACTTTGAATACCAACACACCTTTGTAAAATTTTCGCCTGCATCTTTAAGCATTGCTGCCTTCCAATTCAATAGCCTGGCACTTTGTAACCTCACTTCCATATCAGCTAATTTCATCTGTTTGTAATGAAACAATACCAACCATTAATATTCTGTTACAACAGACACCATCAAGATCACAAATTATTGACTTTCTATCTGGTTTAGGGAGTACAGCCAGAGTTTCAAACAAAACTTCCGACTACTCTTGGGAACTAATGGCACATTCTATTGATTCGTAGATATATCCAAAAAATGACATACCTGAATTCCTTGAAACTGTGAGATTGGCTGATTAAAGGCAACCCTTTTCTGTGCATAGTCAATGGCACACTCTAATGCTGCCTAAAACAAACATCATACGGATTGGTTAAAAAAAAAATTAAACCTTTATTTGGGACCATTCGTCCTCTCCCTGGGCTTCGGGATAATCAGATACTCAAGTCTTGAAGTAGGTTTTTTTGGTGGTGTCCTGACATAGGTATCAATGGAAAATCACTTGATTCTATCAGGAATATATCATCCAGAACACCAAAAGAACAACATAGAAAACCAGGCAATAGGTAAAATGAAAAAGGTAAACAGAAACCCTAACCGTAGCCCTGAAAATATTAATTATTTCTGCTGTTTTTATTATTTATTTATTTATTTATTTATTGGACATTTTTTGTGGTGTTCAAGAATGTTCAGTGTTACGTGATCATTTGGTACATGGGGACTCTGAGGAAGCAAGCCATTGCAGAGATTAATGATCGATAGGTAAAGTAAAACAAAAAAATACCTGAGCAATTCCTAGTGCTTGAGCAGCAATACCAATACGACCTGCATCAAGTGTGGCCTGAAAAACAAACACAAAATGAAGCTTTAACAACTATAAAAGCAAAAGCCTAATCTTGCCTTTTTTCTGCAGAAAACATAGAAGAACAAAGTTGGTTATTACCATTGCAATCTTGAAACCAAAACCAGGCTCTCCAAGCAGATTTTCCTTTGGAACGTGGCAATTTTCAAAAATCAAGTAGCAAGTAGAAGTTGCCCTTATCCCAAGCTTATCCTCTTTCTTTCCAAGTGACAATCCTTCAGTTGGCTTTGGAACAAGAAATGCACTGATTCCTTTATGTTTTAATGACTTATCTGTTGTGGCAAAGACCACTGCTGCCTCTGCCTCATAGCCATTGGTTATCCAGGCCTTTGTTCCATTTAAAACCCAGTGATCTCCTTCTAATTTAGCAGTGGTCTTTGCTGCACCAGCATCACTGCCATTATCTGAAAGTTTTAACACATTAGGTCTATTTTTTTCAAAATTCATTATACTGCTTGGGTGCTGTTTTGTTTCTTCTTTTTAGCTATGGACATCAATGGGGAGGGTGTTAAACAATAAGTTTGAATTCCAGTAGGTAAACTCAAGTATTTTCCTCAACAGGCATCTGACTAAATTCTGGGGATTATCCTATCGCCACCATATAAAAGAAAGAAAACACTTGTTTCCCTAACAAATGTATCCCCAGGTTCAATTCTTCATTTTGTTTTTTCACCCCCCAAAATTCCAAGAGTATATCTGAGTCCTCAATGTCTGTTGAAATTTTAGACCGCCTAAAAACATTTGGGCCCTCAGTCCTAGAGATACTTTGACAAATTCCCAGGGTTTGACCAGTTTCGAATCTGAACTCTTTTTTTCGCAAGATAGAGTAGAGGGAAACTGTAGGATCTGAAAGGAAGCAAATATACCTAGTTTGCTGAGGGACCAGTCACAAAGTGATACGTAGCTCCTTAAAAAAACCTTTTGTAACAAAAATTATTTATGTTACAATTTACGAAACAAATCTCAGCAAGGGGAAGAGTGCATTGATACCCTCTGACATAATAGATCTTGCAATCTTGCCCATTCAGAGACTTTTATCACAACACACTTTTATTTACGGATGTCATATGACCTCAAAATCACTAATAAAAGTGTGCTCTGTTGGGTAAAAATCTCGAGCTATATAATAGCAGAGCTCTATGCAAAAATACCCCTTGGCCCACTCACTTTCTTTTTGACAAGGACTTTTTTTTGAGGAGCTGTTCATACATCTATTTACATTTTGAAACGTCTAACCTGGTTCACTGAGAGCAAAGCAGCCAAGACGCTCGCCAGAACAGAAAGGAGTTATCCATTTCTTTTTCTGTTCATCTGTTCCATACTTCAGCAATGGACCAAGGTAAAGAGACTGCAAAAAAATCAATGACATAATTTTATCATTACTGCTGGTGTACAGAAATACATGATTTTCATTTACAATTTTAAATTCAACCACTACATGCTTGGAGTCATCAACAAAGAAATACAGATCACATTTAATGCACATCATTATAATTTATTTTTTAAGTTCAACCACTTTATGCTTGGAGTTATCATCAGAGAAATACAATACAGATCAAGAAACAAATGTTTATGATCAACTTACATTATTAACACTCATAATGCATCCAGTTGATGCACAGCCTCTACTAATTTCTTCTGTTGCTATGGCATATGCCAGGTAATCTAAACCTGATCCTCCCAATGACTCAGGCACCTCCATTGATAAGAGGCCAAGTTCTCCCAACTTTTTCACCTGTTGATGGACATTATTTTCAATTTCATTAATAATGTATTTTTTAAATATTAGGTACAACAAAGAAATGCTTGGGATTCAAAATAATAATAATCTGAGTTCCCAGCAGGAATTGAACCCATGACCTTCCAGATACCAGTAGGACGATCTAACCACTGAGATATGGGCGACTCATGTTTATGCGGCTTAATATCATTTAGGCAAAATTAAACTTGAGCTTATGCAGCCAGCAGTCTTCCCCATCGGCAGTACGTGACCTTTGGGGTGGCCTCCAGGGGTTGTGCAGGGTTTCAAGGTTCATTGCTTTACATGTACAGTGTTATCAGCTGATTTTTGTGGGTTAAAAGAACAGCTATCGCTTGCTAATCATTGCAGATTCTTGCACCCTCTCCTCCCTCCCACTGTTGTGTTTGGTTGTCACGGTATGTATCCTTTCAGGAAAGTTTTTTCCACAGAATTATTTTAGTGTAATGGTGCCGGTTAGTGGACGCGCATTTGGTTGGTTCCTGCATTCCAGGGTTGCCAGGGATATCTCCCTGCAGCTAACCTGAAAGGCAACAGTTCCCAAGCTCATCTCTTTGTGATGAGTTTAGTGTTTTAAATTTTGCTAAGAAATGATATATTGCTGTTACAGGTACCTTTTTTAAATCAACAATCAAATGGTTGCCTGGAATAAAGCTCCAATTATCTCTGATATACTACTTAGTGAATTATCTTTTTTTTAAACATTCCTCCCTGAACTGCCTGTAATCACACATGCAGATACACATCCCTTCTACTGCTTGTGATATATAAGAGTTTGTGACTCGGGACACAGAAAAGTGTCCGTTGTCCCTATTGACCTCTGTCACTATTACACAGGTAAATGTAAGAGAAAATACATCAGCCTTTCATTGGGACCAACGAAACTGTCCAATATATACAGGTGTCTGCATTAACCAGGTGTCCGCTCCACTGCACTACTTAGTAGCCTAAGGAAAAATCCCTTCCATGGTGGAGCTATGGATAGTTTTTGGGATCACACAATGTACTTCAAAAGTCCTGGAAAAGTTTTCCTTAAACCTTGACTTTGTGAGGGGTCTGGGGGAGAAGGTTGTTTAAAAATTAAAGGGGGATGGGCCGGGGGAGTTAAAACATCCTATAGTTATTTATCACTAGCAAAAATCATGATAAAGGCAACAAAAACAAGGATGACAAATATTTGTGACGTTTGATTTTATCGTTGGTTCAAATATTGTTTTTCTTTTGTTTTACACTCATGATCAATCAATACCGTATTAAACAAAAGAACAGAAAAACAATATTCAACTAAAGGATAAACTTGAAACAGAACACATTCAGTGACGCTACCTGTTCCAAAGGAAACTTATGCTCTTTATCAAGACTTGCAGCAATAGGAGCCAGCTCCTTGTCCGCGAAATCTCTGCATGTTTGACGCAACATTTCATGTGTTTCGGGGAGTTTAGCGAGGTTTGATATAGACCTTCTCTTTGCCATACATTTTCCAGTTCCGAACCGAAGTAAAATGCTACAAACTTGGTTTTTAGGGGAAGTTAAAGTGGATGCAAAACTTCGTGACCATATCGTCGCCATTTTGACCTTTGGAACCAGGCCACGGATATCTGAATCTACTATTCATGTATGAGCCTCCAAACTGTGCTAAGTAGTTACGCAAGTTCCTCCAACTCTTGCATGATTCATTTGTTATGTTATCGTCGTGTTTTCATTGTCTGAGAACAGTAATTGATACATCATGCTAATCAGAAGATTACTTCCACGACTAACTACGATTATACCCGTGCGTACGACAAATTCATCTCCGGATCGCGCAAGGCAAACATGGTCAATCGTGAAGCAGACAAAGTATATGTATTGTAGCAGACCAGAGAGCCAAATAGACACTAAAACACGGTTATGTTGGAAGTGCAAGGCTCTAATTACATCAGCAATCGAATTTTTCTGTCCATCGTGTAATATTATCCAACGTCCATTAAAGAAGACCACTTATTTTGAGATCATGGACAGGTAAGCATAGTGAAGTGTTGGAATATAAAATAACAGACACAACCTGGAGAGAAACATATGCTAGCAGGGAAGGTGCGTACTTTAACGGGAGAAGGGGTAAGCCTTATGTGACGTTCTAGAATAAAGTGATGGTTAACACTTCAGAATAAGGCCCTGTTGTGTACCAGTCAATGTAATGCCCCCCTCCCCTCTCCCCCTCCCCCCTTCCGGCAGGGACATAGCGGGGAATTTGCAGAAATTTGGCTTTTTTGCAGATATCAGGGACTTTCATGAGATTTACACACCACTGACTTGGCAACCTCCAAAAGGATAAAAAAGTGAGATTCTGAACTAGCCTCCCCGCAGACGTCCTTTGGGGTTCGCTTGTCACGCATTCATTTCTCCCCCACGGAATGTTTTAAATGTTTTAACCATGGGGAGAAATGAATGCGTGACAAACGAACCCCAAAGGACGTCTGCGGGGAGGCTAATTCTGAACCTACTGCTGGGAAAAGTTGTGAGAAATGGGTAAAAAGCCGTGACATGTCACAAATTTCCAAGCGGAAGGACTTGCAGTGGGGATTATGGGTATTCAGTGGTGGATCCAGGAAAGGGGCCCAGGGAGCCCTCCCCTCCCTTATTTTTAGACCAAACTGAGGCCCAAAGGGCTGAAAAATTGTTTTTTTTGGAGACCGGGCTCCCCCCTTTTCTAAGGGTCTGGATGTACCCCCCCATTCCCCTTTAAGGTCTCAAGGTCTCAATGCGGCACTGGTATTGAGAGTCACTTTAAAGCTGCAGCAGTAAACACCACAATCAATTTTAGGATTTAGGTTTTGTAATTTTTATGTTTTGTTGGTGGTCATCTTGAAAAAGAGAAAGAGTAAGTCTGCACATTTGGTGGGAGTGGCAAGTTGTATATTTAGGCTAAAAGAGGTAATTAAACACAGCCGCTTTTTTGGGGGATTGAGCTGGCCATCTATTAATATCTAACTTAGAAATGAACCCTACAACTCCAACATTTTTTTGGAGTGTGACTTTTTGAGAAAACGTGAGAAATCAGTTGCCAACTCATGAGAATGTGAGATAGTTCGGGAGACAAAGTCATGAGACTTGGCAAGTCTGACACTATCCAAGATCAGTGGGGGAGCTGACTGGGGTTGGGGGGGGGGGGGGGAAACGGGGGGGGCCGGGGGGAAGCACCTTTAAAGGGGGTGGACAGCAGGGGGGGAGAATTGGAAGGTTTATGGGTAGCCGGGTTTAGGTGGGGAGCGGGTGGGGGGGGGGAAGGGGTGGAGGTCGGGGGGGGGCGGACGCATAGGGGGGGGGGGGGGGGGGGGGGGGGGGGGGGGGGGGGGGGGTAACTGAGGTGGACCGGGTCAAGACCCTATTAAATGGATGTACAGCTAGTGGGCAGAATTTGAACGATTTACTGTAGCCTGTGTTTAACACGTTTTTTCAAAAGGAGCAGGGTCATTGTTTCAATTATTGGAGGAAACCTTTTGCCTTTAGGCAACATGCCTACACCCCTGGGACCAGTTAAACTTTTTCTTTGAAAAAAAAAATTGCCTTCTGCATATCCCAGAAATTCAAAAGCTTTACTTAATTAGCTTCAAGAACAATAGCTGGCATAGAGCGGTTTTCACTTGACTGTCGTAAAACCAAAACCAAAGTAAATACACTAGCCAACCAAGGGGCATAGTAAAACCAAAACCAAACCAATTCCTCAATTTCTTTCGACAGTCAAGTGAAAACCGCTCTAGTACTTACTCTGCAGTTACACTGCGTTAATACTGCAGTATCCCTTTCATGCGAGATCTCTATTTAGTTAGTGCCTATTATTAAGTCAATCCTTCAACTGTCTGCAGCAAATATTATTATGATCTATGCAAAGTACAAACTTGAAGATGTTATGCAGTGTTAGTTGTTTTTGGTGATAGTCAAAGTTTGTGATGCTGGACCTTAATAGATAAATTCTTCCTTTTGATATTTTCTAGCCCCAAGACATTTGATGTCAACACAGTTCAGTTGAATGACAAGTATAAAGAACTACAGTGGAAACTCCATCCAGATAAATTTAGCGATGTTTCTGAGGTATAGTTTACAAGTAGCTTTACAAGTAGCTTTACCAGAGAGAATGAGATTTTTTAAGTATTGTAAGTCATGGTCAATGACTAATGATCTTATTGCTTTTACGGCCATGATTGATTATCATGATTTTTATTACACAGTAAAAGATTAATTTGCTAATTGTTACTTTCACTTTGCCCTCAATTTACCTTGTTTACACTCCAAATGTTTGGACAAGATATCAGATATCACAGTCATCCCAAGATTGATTGAAAACAATGTGTATGCAAAAGTTTGGAGGTAAAGGAGGTGCACTAGTACAGGAAGGGTGAAAGGGCAAATGTTGATCATAGATATTGATTTTTGATGATCATCAGTGATGATGATGATGTTGATGATGATGATGATGTTGATAAGGGTGATTGACTGGTGAGGATGATTGATAATATTGATGATTGTTGTTGATGATGATGATGGTGATGACCTGATAGTGATGACGGTTATTTATGATGATGATGATGATGATGATAATTTGATCATGTTTTATAACAAACTAAATAAAAAACAATAGACTGACAGTGCCTTTACAACATGTGACAGGAGGAGAAAAAGATTTCTGAGGAACAGTCATCAAGAGTAAATGAAGCTTATGTAACTTTATTAAAGCCGCTCAGCAGAGGATTGTATCTTGTAAGTCTTTCACTTTGGAAGAAGTATCTCATGTATAATGTACAGGTCAAATTTGATTTCAGGTTAAAATGTTTTAACCTAGGTTGATCCTCAACTTCCTTTGTCTTTTACAGCTAGAGGACAAAGATAACTGAGAATCAAGCTACAATCTTGGATGAAAAGTTAAGAATTTTGTACTTTCTCACCCACAGGACACCCACCTGATCAATTCGGTACCACTATTAGCCTTCCCCCCACCCCACCCTGGTCCATGTTATTCAATCTGGGGCAGAAATGATACAGCAAAACTTCTTGTGTAGGAGGTAGGGGAGTTGTTTATAATTGCCTTGTGCTTTAAACAGCTTTATATTGAAATCAGACATGACAACCTCCATTTTTCTTAACATTTTTGTCCAAGATTGTAGATTAAATCAAAATTAACTTGAAATCAAATTTGACCTGTTATGGTCTAGTTTGAGCTGTAAAGCTGTTTTTTGAAGCAAAATCATTCGCCTAACCCTTTCTTTCTGTGATGGCCAGAAAAAGGTAATGACTATACAATGGTACACAGGGTTTTCATTAAGAATTCTAGTAGCAGGAGAAAGGTGTAACATTACAGAAGAATATTTTGAAAGAGGCTCCAAATCTAAATAAAAATTGTCATGGGCTACCGAACAAAAGTGAGAGAATTCTGTGTAGTAAATGGAGAATTCTTTGATCTCCGATGCCTAGTGAACACCCAGCTTGGTACATATTTTAATGTTATTCCTTTACAACTTTGAATTTTTATTTTGTTTCCACCAGTCTGCTGTATTTTTTATTTTTATCTTATTAGTCAGGTTTCACACAGCTTTCACTTCAGCTAACAAGCTCGCAAAGCTGTTACCTGTGAAGCTGGGGTAAAATCAAACTGCCTCTTTTCTTATAGCTAAATTTACATGGTGAACATGTCACTGAAAGTGAAGCAACATCCACAGATGGTGAATTTTTGGCAGCAATAATGGAAAAGTATGAACAAATTTCATCTTCATCTGAGGAGAGATTAGAGGAAATCCAGAAGGAAAATAATGGTGGGTGTAAAGTGGAATGAACTTCACTATTTAGTGCCTTGAACAGGATATATTTTTGGACCGTAAAAAAAAATATCCTTTTAAAAGAGTGTGATATATGGTACCAACAATTTTTTTTTTTCAAAAAGGCTTATTCCATGATGCTACTTTGAAAAGTTAGTTAATTCCGTAACGCAAAATATAATGAGTCAGGATCATAAAATAAGGTCCCTTGTCTTAAACAGGGTATTGGGGAGAACGATTTCTGTCTCAAACAGGGTCAGAGCACACCTCTAAACACTCCCCTTAAGTAACCCCCCCCCCCCCCCCCCCCCCCCCCCCCCCCTAACTTTCTTTTCGCCCACACTACACTTTTTATTTAAACAACCAAACACAAGGTATTAGTACATACGATTCATACATGTATGGGAGGCGGGGGGGTGATACTACATTTTATGTTGTGTATTAATTCTACCCCCCCCCCCCCCCTCCCTGGTAAAACCATTATTAGTATTACCGGGATCATAAACTTAGTTTATCAACACACAAGAAAAGTGTGCATTGGATACATTTACGTCAATGGTGAGTGAGCAGTGGATGACTAATTCTAATTTCCTGTGAATTTCCAACTTTTAGAACACTTGGAGAAGTGTATTCAAGACATCTCAGATGCATTTGCACAAGGTAATGACCAAGTTTACATTTACATATGGAGGCTGTGTTAAACTTGATTGTTCTGTCTGTTTTGCAGTCTTGACATTTTATGTTGTTTTCCCAAATAGTTTGTTTCAGAGTAACTTACAGAATTAATGCTAAGCTGTGTGATCTAGCTTCCTTAGACATTCTGTTTTCTTTATAATACAAAATGAGTTGCTGAGTTGTGCTTTCAAGAGTCTCATTTCTTCATAGAGAAATTATAATTTCTTTAATTACTGTATATCCTAGCAACAACCGAACAACTGAACTCTAACTAATGGCCTGTCATACATTAACAGCTGAGTGGCTGTCAACAAAATAATATATTATGTAACACGATCCTTCTAAGGCTTTTGTCCTTTTAAACAATCTTGGGCTGGGTTGGAGGCTGGGTCACGATTGGACTAATAGATGTGGCCATTTATTGATATATTTACACCGGCCCTTCTTATTCATCCATTTAGCCTACACAGACACCCACTCATTCACATCACATTTTCTTTTTCCTGACAATATCCAACATTTTTCAGGTGATATACAGACAGCTCGGCAGGAAGTGATCAAGCTGAATTATTACAACAATGTGGCAGAATATATCAGGAATCAGGGAGATTGGAGTTAACAGAACAGAAAATTTGTGCTGTAGATGAAGAGGAATCAAAGAGGGGAGGGTCTATTCCAGACCAAAAGACTGCAACAACAATAACATCTCCAGCCAGAAAGAATATCTCCTTAATCCCTTTTCAGTGCAAAAAGAATAGGAGATAATTTAATGGAATGTTCTTCTCCCGAAAAACTGCAAAAGCTCCATCAGTACTGACTGACCAAACCATGATGAAACACGTGGAAAAGGGGGTTGATCTTCGCTGCTTTGTTATCTCAAGTCATGGAAGGATATTTCCTTATAAAAAAGGGGCAATTAAGTGTTCTTTCTCCCTTCCTAACCATGGAAACAGAGGACAGTAAAGAATATAACTTGCGAAAGTATACATTTGACTTGTTGCTATTTGAAATTCAAAGATTGTGTATAGCCCGTGGGTAGTACTCCTTGACCGCTTCTTTTTTCTTTGGTACGTGGCCTGAGATCAGGGCTTCTGGTAGTTCAATTCATTTCTCGCTTTTTCTGTTTTGCCGCTGTTATCGTTCTGTTTGTCCTATCTTCTTTTCGTTTTTGTTGTACTCTTAAGAGATTCATCCAGTGGATAGTGTTGTTAGTCTACCTTTCAAACAACTGGGCCCAGGTCTAATGGGTCTAATTTGGCCCTGGTCAAATTTATTAGCAGATCCAGCCCCCTTCCCGTCATTTTTAGAAAAAAAGTTTTTGAGCCCCGCCCCCCTTATCTCAGGGTCTGGATAACCGGGCCCCACCCTTATCTGAGGGTCTGTATCCGCCACTGAAATGTTCATGTAACACATAAAACACGAGATAGAGTGTCTCATCAAATATAAAACACTGCGAAGACAGTTGAACACAGGACAGGTTACTGGTATCTTTGCCAACTCTTAGGCGTTTGTTATTGTAATGAAATACTTGTGTCGAGTGTTAGTTATAACTTCTCGAAAGAATAGAAGCCGGTAAGGGCCCTTTGTAGAATCATTTAACATCCGGCAATAGACAAGTTTATCTTTTTAATTGCCACATTGAAAAGTTCTCAAGAATGAGGGAAACTACAAAAAAACCTTAATAAAATAGTTGTAAAAGAAGTTAACTACAAGTGTAAATGTTTGTGTCATTTAATTTAGGGGCAATGTTTTTGTAAAAACTGGGCTCCCCGGCGTTGCTTTTGTTGTTGTTGGTACATATTACTCAATACTGTAAAGCAAGGTTTATCTTTGAGACGTCTGTTTTATGTTACACGGCTAAAGCGAATACGAATTCGTACGCCACATTGAAATGGCAATTGCTCAGTTCAAGGACATAGCAAGCTCTGCGCATGTACGTACCAAACAAAGGGAAAGAAAGAAATATCAAAGACGGGGAAAAGCGGTGGTTGAAACACCTTTACAATTATTGCAAGTTATGTTACATGACAAGTCGCATTTAACTGGGACAAAACCCTTTGCAGCTCAGTTGCGACTAGATAGCACGGGTGATTTTTTTTGGCTAACCACGGCAGGCTGAAGTGCGAAACCAAAGCCACCGCAGAATAGCACAACGAGATTCGTGCAGTGAATTCCCACCGGGATGTTGTTGGAAATCCGGGAGAGAAAATTGTAGTTTTATTTACAGTGTAGGTATTTCTTCAGCAGTGTCCCCTATTAGAAGACCTTACTATAACAGGTCAGGTAGAAGATTTTCGTGACATCATCATCAATTCATCAACATCCTCATCACCCAAAGTGATACCGTTTATATGTAAAAATATTGGCTTACCTTCCTAAACATCCAAAATGAGACTGAAATGTGCAAGTTATACCCCCAGGCGAGACAATTAACATCCCCGTCGTTTTTCATATGGGAGTTACCCCACCTTTGGGCCGTGCATTAAGCTACAGTGTTTAATTGACAGACGCACCTGCTCGAGCTTCTTACAGGATAACAGAAAAAGCGCGCGCAGTAATTACTAAAAGACTTGGTTTATAGGAGAGCTCTAAAATTTCCCTACATCTCGGTAAAAACTTAAACAGTATACATCGAAACAGACCAACGAAGATGTGAACGTCTAAGTCAAGGTCTTTCACTTTCTTTCCTCTTTGCAAGATCTTAGCTTCCAAAACACCATGAAACATGAGATAATTAATTGACTGATTATGACGTAAGGAAAATAATTCTCCAAGGAGCTATGTCTATTTTGTAGCTGGAAATGTATATGTTCGATATTTGTTTCATTTTTTGCAGGTTTACGCCTTAAAATGTACCATGGGTTGTGCTCCAAGTTATCCTATTGCAAGAAGCCCAGTAATCTACGAGCCTAACACATATTTCAATATAACAGGTTAGAACAATCTAGTCTAAAAAAATTCCTTTTTGGAAGCAGCTGCAAATCATCGAGTTTACAAAGTATTTGTATGATTATGCCATTTCTAAATTCTAGAGGGCATACGCAATGCCCGAAACTGTAGTGTTTATAACTGAAGTCATTCAATTCATTTTTAAAGCTAACTCCTTTTTTACGGTAAAGAAAAAGTCATTTCATTTTACAGGAACAAGGAAAACACACGGTGAATCAGAACTGAAGAACACAGAATTTCAAAAAATTCAGGAGCAATATTGGCATAAGCTACTCGAAGAAAGGAGAAAGTCAGCGAATAACAGAAGAAGGTTTCAAGGTAGCGTTTCATTTCGTCTGTCGAATTATTCGCTTCTGTACATGCCAAACATTTACACGTGTATCTTTTCATATGCCCGGATTTTTATTAAACCCAACAAAAGTGGCAACAATACGTCCTTAACTATAGATAACTATAACGTTTTGTTCCTTCTTTTTTTAACAGAAATGGGTGAAAAAGATTTCCGATCCTTAATAGAAGAATTTCCAGATTTTAATGAGAGTGATATAGTGGATTTAAGATTACAATTCCAGACGTTTGACCTTAATCAAGATGGAATAATCGATTTTCAAGAATTGTAAGTATAGAGAAGAATATATTTGCTGTTGCGTCCTCAGTAACGATTCAGTGCAGATTTGGGTAAACCTGTTCTGCTCTGGCCTTTTCACTAAGGGGCTCGCAAAGACAACGCCCTAACAATCTGCATATAGCTACTCAAGGTGTCCAAGGTGAACGGGGAATACGGAACGGTAACACGGCCGATGGGGCTTCTAGATTGGTAAAACTTCATAAGTCCCTGCAGGCTTAATCTAGGAATGTTTTTTATGTTGTTGTTTATATATCGAAAAGAAATTCATATCTCTTTCCGCACAATCTATATTTACGTTTGCGATTGGTTAAAATGTCAGACAAGTTAGTGTACTTCGATTCATAAAAATGTAACGAAATTTTGTTAGTAAATCATGGTAACCTCAACCTTATTGACACGTTTTACTTTTGTGTTTTAGAATGCAAGTTCTTGACGACCTTGGTGACAGATCAGAGCCCGCCACAAGGGAGCAGTATTTTAATGAAATTGATAAAGACGGATCCGGAGCGATCGATTTTGAAGAATTTTTAGCGGTAAGAACTAGGTGTCCGAGTAACACATAAATCGAGTTTCGGCAAGCAAAGAAATACATTACATTCTATAGTTCTTGGACGTCTTTCCTTTTTGCCAAAGAGAGCTACCTGTTGATTATAATATGTATTCTATACAGTTGCAGCTTTTGATACGTGTCCTTTCTTCGTGAGTAACCGCTATATTTATTGACACGAAAATAAGATTATCATCATCATCATCATCATCATTTTTTTAATTTCATTTGAACATCAACTCTGAACAAGTCGTTGGTTACTTCAAGACTTAAGCGATTTAAGATTACCCTAAAATGTTTGAATTGTCTACTAGTTACTACAACCGTTCAACAAACGTTCAGCCTTAAGAAAAAGATCACAGAGATTTTATTTTTCATTAAGCAACTCTGATTATTACTTTGGGACTCTTCTCCATGAAATGCTGTTAATTTATTGTATATCGTGTTTCAGTAAGCCAAGTAAATAAATGATGATGATGAAGATGATAATAATGATAACAAAAATTATTTTGAAGATTATGATGATGATGATGATGATGATGATGATGATGACAGAGCCTTTTTTGTCCTTTCAGCTTATCTACCAACTTCGAAAGACGTCCTTTGATAAAGATGAATTAGGACAGATAGGCAGTCTGTGCAAACGAGGCACGGAAAACATTCAGCGAGTCAGAAAGCTTAGTGTGGCCAAACAAATGCTCACGGGACTGTTTTAATTTACATCACTGACTTCCCGAGAGTAAAGCCAACGATTTCCCTGATGATTGTTAAATATGGATAATATTAAGGAAATTGGTTTTTATTTTACTTTTGCGATTCTATGTAACGCCAGAATTTAATTTTATTGAAATATACGAATTGTATTCCATGTTTAGGGCCCGCTAGTTCTTGGGCTCTAGTTATAAAAGGCAATAAATAGAGCAATTCTGTGTAAAATGGGTCTGAAATCTCATCATTCACTTTTAGAAGACGCCGAGTGATATTCATCAAGGGCGTATTGTAAGCCCGAATTGTATAACTGACATGATATAAACTCATTTTTTGCAGGAGCCACCTACCGAGCTACTTAATATTTCAAGAGTGGTGGCCAGTTCCATAAGTTAGTCCCCAGAATTAAAAAAGGCAAAAATTAAAACAAAAGAAAAAGAAATGAAAATCAAACGTGGACAGAACTATTTACTAGATGTTATTTGAGAGCGAACCCCTTCCCCCCCCCCCCGCAATTACCAAGCTATATAAAATTTTCAAAGTGAGGGGCCGTTCCAAAAATTAGTCCCCAGAAATAAAAAAAGGAAAAAATAAAACAAAAAAAAAAAAAAATGAAAACTAACCTGGGCCAAACTTTTTACCAGATATTATTTTGGGGGGAACCCCCTCCCCCCCCCCCCCCGAAATTACGAGTTTTTAACCTATACGATTCTAGCAGGTAATGAAAGTATAAAAACAAAGGAGATCTTTTCATAGACATATCTACTTGAAAAACCAAGGTGACGTGCAGCGACAGATTTTCCAAGAGAATTGTATAATGTGCCAATTTTGCCCATCAGCTCGACAGACATTGGTTACTGTTTAAGTGGACTAGGTGCAATTTCACGCCTTGTTAACATTTGATTTGTTAAGCCCGGGCTTAATGTCTTAAACTCGGCTTCGCCCCTGTCCATCGTTCATATCGAACCGATTCATGCATGCATCTCTAAGGTACTTCGTATTCTCACAACCATATGCATGGTGTGAGTGAAGAAAATAGCCGTCTTACTTCCTTTTCCCTTTGAGTTGGGAACATCAACCTATTTTCTATGACGAGTTTTTCGTTTCTCTTTTCTGTTTCTGTCCCTTTTTCAGTCGTTTTCCAGGCTGTTTATTACTTCGTCTTCTGTTTCGTTTCTCGTTTTTCTCTTGTTGTTTAACCATTCTGCCTCAGTTTTGTGTTCCAATAGCTTCAGGAGCCCATCAGTGCATAGCCCGGCTTCAGAAGAATTCACAAGAAAATTTACCGTTTATTCGTCACCTTGGAATCGTTTTCTTATGGGAGTCTCAACTCTAAGATCAATTTGAACAACTATCCATTAATAGGCTTGTCTGTTTCTGATTCTGTTCTCTGTGTCTGTTTTCTTTTTCTTGTTTTCCTTTTTCTCGTTTTTGGTCTTCCGTTTTCTGTTTTGCGTTTCTCCTTTTCTTATTTCTGTTTTTCTTTTCCTGTTGGTTTTCCTTCTTTCTGCGATCTGCTTCTGTTCTATTTTCATTCTGTGTGGTTTCCGTTTTCTCCTTCCTTTCCCTTTGCTGTTTTGCATTTGGGTTGGGTGGGGCAGGGAGGGGGCTGGGGTTGGGGAAACTGAGCCGGAAAATAAACGTAAAAACTAAACTAAAAGATATAACTAAATGAAAGATAACCGGGCCCGGCCTGGAATAGCGGTTGATAGAACTATTAACAGTAATACCTAATGTACAAAATTAGATTAATGTGATAGAGTTTAACTATTTTAAAAAGTCACCAATAAACAAGAAGTAGGTTCAGTTCTAAACTCTGCAATTTTGAAGCTGTCTAATTTTACTTATCGAACTTCGTCAAAAAATTTTCCGGCTTCTTGTCACGTTTGGTTTCCTTTTTCAGCAGGGCGGGCTTTTTTGTCCTTGCTCATCCTAAAAAGGCCTTTCTGAAATGTCAGTGTACAACGTACGGAGGATTTTTAAAATCTAAGAGTGATTTGAAAGGTCGAATCTACCCATTTGAAGCTACAGTTTGCTTTTGATTGATTTTCCTTGCGTCATCATAAAGACGGTTAAGCAGGTATTGAGCAACGGACTCGCGCAGACGATAGAATTGACTTTATAAGACCCGAGGACGGCGACGGCAGCGAAAACGTCGTTTGAAAAGTGAATATGCGTTTTTCAATCTTCATTGCGATAATTCTAACAACTCCCTTACTTTGTCAAATGTCGGCGAACTGTCCGGGGGTTGAATTCCTAAGAACAACTTAATACCCAAGTTCAGAAAGAGAAAGAAAAGTTCGTCGTCGCTTATTGACGCCCTCCATAAAACGTGCTGTGACAGCAAAGAAATGTGCAAAAAAGTGTGCAGATGCAAGTGGAGAATTTTTGTTTTGCTTGTTTAATCCATTACTTTGTTGACGTTCTCTTTACCTTTGCCGTCGTCGGATTTAATGGTCCCTAGTTATGCTCCAGCCAGTGGTAGTCAGCCCGCATTATAAAATGGAAATTTTCTCCATTATTGTCAAAAGCACCTTAGCTTGTGACGTAATTGGCTAAAAATTCTCTCAACCGATCAGAAGTTAAAAAAAAGACCTGCTTTCACATGTTTTCTTACATTTGGGGCTGCATATAATATCTGCTTACATCATTATTGGGCTGATTATTTAGTCCGGGGTTTGCGTCGTTCATTGTCGCTCACAGTTGAAGCGACCACCTAAAATGCCAATATTTGGATGTTGCTTATGACAGGTGATCGCGCATGGAAGTTAGACTTTGGAACACGTGAGACCATGCCTTTAAGTAATCCATCAAACACGAAGAAAGAGTGTTTTCTTTGATATGCAAACATCAAGAATTTTCAAAAGGGAGGCGCGTAGCCAGCTTGTTTTACTGAGATATGTGGATGCCATTTGCATCATGTCTTCTCTAGGATTTCATAAAAATGGAATTCAGAGTTGGCATTCCTTGATGTTTGACTGAAGTCACCGCAAGCAGCAAGTTTCAGGCGTGTGTACTAGACTATACGTAGGGGATTGGGGTAGGCCATAGAATGGGGTATGCTTTTCGAAGTGCCCTTCCCTGTTATTCTTGTCTTTTGATACGGTACCAGAAATAATTGGACCAAAACCACCATTAAAAGCGTGGACTAACTCTAATGGAAGTCTAAGCTTCATGAATGTCTTGTAGAGAAGGAATAATACTTTTTTCTTAAACAGGGTGTTCTTTTTTCTTTTGGGGCGCTTGAAACGGGGTATCATTTTCAATAATTATTCTTTTTCCCCTAACCCTAACCCTAAATAGGGCCAGGGCTTTGTGGAACACACTTATCCTTAAACTGACAAGAGTACACCTAGGGGAAGTGAGTGAAAGAGGTAAGGAAAATTCCGTCTTTCCCGCACCCCAACCTAGTTCCTAGGCGTTCTTGGCTCGGTCAATCATGGAATCTACCGTGAGCTGTGACGTCATCGGGGTGAGAGAAAACGCGTAGGACTAGGCTGCCCCCACCCTGTTTATTTGGCTAACAAGACATAAAGAAATACCCTATAACATGAAAATTTACATTAATTAATTGTATGTTCCAAAATGAATTGATAACAGACTACTTCTCTCTTTTCCGATGAAGTGTTAGTGTACTTACAGAAACAAGCTTCTCAGTTAGGTTCATTAGCTTTTCCAAGACTACAAATAATGATTCATCAACAGTAAAACATCTTCTCATCTTTTAGGTCCAAATAAATGTCCTGAATCCAACTGTATATGTATTTTGTATATAACCTTAACCTTCTACCGTTTAACCTTGATGAATATAACTGCTACAACATCTACAAAAAAGGCAATAACTTTATAAATAATGTATAAATAACCAATAAACAAAATGCCCAAGAAATTAAGCTTTTGGGTCAGAATTAACAATACGTTCTTTTTAGGTTAAATACATTTAAATAATCCTTGATTTTTTTGTTTCAAAATGATGAAAATACTCAAGAAATTTTAAGTTTGAGTGAGAATAAACCGACCATACTTTATTCAGTTGTAAGTTGCAGCATTTTGTCAAAAAAATTGTGCATGACTACTCTAAATTTGTTTAATTCAGAATGCATTATATGCTTGTGTGCCTTATAACAGAAAAAAAAGTATGGTATCAACAGTAACGTTTTAAAATGTTTCAAATAACAAAAGGCTTAAAACTTGTTAAAATGCTTTGAAAAATTATATTACAGCTAATGTTTTCCCTGTAGTTCTCAGGTATATACAGTTAAGATAACCAGCGAAACAGTTCCCATAAAGCAGTCATCCCCTAACTACAGAATGTGTACCGTTTAGGCATCCATCCTGTTCTGAAAACATGATCTAAAAATAATTTAAATCATTAAATCATTATGGATGACAATAATATAACTTTTTTGAATTTTTAAAATATTCTTTAAAAAATATATCTGTTAGTTTCAATCTTGTCCTTTGTGTTACACTAATTACTGCATTTGTTTATGCAATGGCTTCAGTACAGTAAAACCCGCATGCAAGGAACTGCATAATTATTACGTTTTTCCAGGTAAAAATTTTGTCAATTAATTACCACAAATATAACTTAAGAAAGATCAATTTAAATACCCATGTTATTTATCCACCAACATTAAGGCAGGCTATAATGCATTCAGATAATAATTGAGACATGGATTTAAGGAACAGGTGACAAGTTGAGTATGTAGTATTTAAAATACCTTGAAACCATTTTAAATAACTCAGAGAGACATCCAAATCACTGCCATGGATTCCCTCTATACCCATACAAATATTGAGAAACTGGAAATAAACTATAAAATATTAATAGCAAAATTCTTACTAGATTCTTGGTATTCAATTCTACCAACATTAGCCCAGGCCAGGCAAATATTTACCAAGATTTACTTTGTTACCAGCCAAACACACCCTCAGATGTTTATTGTACTATCATTCCCTTTGTGTTAATCCTTTGCAAAAGTTCTTGAAAGCAGTCACTTATTTGTGACAACTCTTGAATAACATGTTCAGAAGGTTGCTGTTTTGCTGCAAGGTCTTCAAAGCTTTGCAGCCCAGTCTTCATATCATTTATTGCCTTTAATAAGCCGTCCTCGATCTAGTATATCAAGGAACAAAATAATGAAAACATGGGTTACTTAAAGTGAGAACAAAAATAAATTGAAGAATAAAAAATAATCATAATATTTTTTACCGGCATGTTGTAGGTTAAAATGAAATTCAGATTTAAATGGTTTTAACCTACAGTAAACACCCGCGTATAAGAACCTAGAATTTTTGGGTTCAGGCTGAATGGGTTCTTATATTTTGGGGTAGTTTTTCCGAACTCAGGCTGATTAGGTTCTTAGTAGGTTCTTATTTGTAGGAGTTGTCATAGTGATACCATTCAGAGAACTACTGTAGTACTAGTATGTCATAATGGTTGAACATTTGTATTTTAAACAGCAAAAATGCCAAGCCTTATTTTTTAAACAATAATAAATTCAATATCATAGGCTACCATATTTACAGTTGTATTTGATAATAATGTAAATTGTTAACAGCAATATAAATATATAAATAAAAACAGCAAAAATAAATAACAACCCGGCAATTTAGGGAATTAAAATTGAACCAATTTGAAAATAATCAAATACAATTTGAAACAAAATATTAATTTTCTTGCGTATTGAAATAAAGATGCATTGTACTGTACATTAGCTTTTGTATGAATGTAAAGTCTCAAAAGGTTTTCCCAGGGTCCATGATTGCAAAGTGTCTAAGTATGTCCATGCACATGACTGTATGCTCTAAAATGTATAAGGCTCAAGTCCCTGTGGTCTTATTTTCTCATCATCCTCCCCATCAGCAGTCATCAAGCATCCAGTTTTTTCAAAAAGTTTCTTTA